TGCATCATATAATAATTAAATTATGCAATTACAATGACAAGTACAACTGGCTTATATAAAGAAGTTTAGGAACAAACCTGTTGACTCTTGGTAAATACACAACTCAATGGGAAGTATGTGGGCCTAAGTTAATTTACAGAGGGAATGAAAATTGTGGGAAATTGGGCAAGTTGGATTAAATGAAGATTAGCTGATCTTTTACTTTAAATAAATGAATATAAGACATTCACTAAGAGGGTGCATTATTGAAAGTCTAAATGACTTGGCTTCTTGGACAACCAATTTAACTTAAAGAATCTAATCTGTCTTTAAAAATGCCTTGAGCAAGCACATGCCTTTCTAGGTTCAGGCTCTTTTGTGCACTTTCACGTGTCAGACTGACCTGGATCATGGACCCATGTCTGTCCTAACTCCTGGTCATCCCCAGCTCTGCCTTTAACTCCTAGTTGGACTTTGACCTGCTTTAACCATCAAGACCTTGATTTGCCTCTATGAGTTGATACCTTACATTCCCTTGAGGCTCCCTTTCATAGGTACCTGAGAATCCGTCGGGGCAAACCAGCTGGCCCTCCTATTGCCTTCCTCCTCTGCAGGAAGTTAGTTTCATCTTCTCTGCTCTAAGCCAGTCACTCACTCTTCGCTTTTCATCTTCTGAAATTCTGATATTCTCCATCTGTCATCTCCCATATTTGTCTTCATATTCGAAGGGTTTATAGATGTTTTTAAAAATTATTGGCTGGGTGTGGTGGCTCACGCCTGTATTCCCACCACTTTGGGAGGCCAAGGTGGGAGGATCACTTGAGGCCAAGAGTTTGAGACTGGCCTGGGCAACATAGCAAAACTTAAAAAACAAAAAACTTAAAAATTAGCAGGACATGGTGGTGTGTGCCTGTAGTCCCAGCTACTTGGGGGCCTGAGGGAGGAGGATCACTTAAGTCCAGGAGTTCAAGGTTGCAGTGAACTGTGATCACACCACTGCACTCCAGCCTGAGTGACAGGGTGTGACCCTGTCTCTTAAAAAAAAAAAAATATTACTATCCTTTTACTATCAGTTTAATGAGAGTTCTGAGGAGTACAGAATTATTGCTTGTCTTCAGTAATTCATGTTTGGCTTTCTCTCTACTATGGTAGCTTTCTACTTCCTAAACGCTCCTGGTTCTTCTGAAAGTGGGAGCCTTAATTTTGAGCTTTCTGAACAACTTGAAAAAGATAGTTAGCTTTTTCCTAGGACTGCCTAGCAGAACTCTATTTGTTCTGTGGTTAATATGCCGTCAGAAACAAGTCAATGTGAATCAGCTTTTGCAAATATCAATTAAAACGTAGGGAACTTTTTGGGATAAAGGTTAAGCGTGATTAGAAATTTCTTGATTGGAAAGTAAGACTCATAGGGTGAGATGAGCTTCTCTTCTTTGACGATGAAGAAGGGGGTATTTAGGGACTGGGAGTTAAAACTTTTCCTCATATAAAATGGTGTAGTATTTGCACGTAACATACACACATCCTCCTTTAGAGATGATACTTCAAATCATCTCTAGATTACTTATAATACTTAATACAATGCCTACACATCATTTCTTTCAAATGGATTCAACATAGTACTAGGTGCACAGCAAATTCAAGTTTTGCTTTTTGGAACTTTGTAGCATTTTTTTCCCCAAATATTTTTTACCTACAGTTTAAATCCATGGATTCAGAACTCATAGATACAGAGAGCTGATTGTATATAATTCTTTCACATATTTTTTTTTTTTCCTGTAGAAGTTTAATCATTTCCTTGAGGGTAGAGACTATTTCTGACATCTTAGCGTCTCTGAGTGCCAGAATAAGGGCTTACCAAGAGTCAGGTGTTGTGCCTGATCTCATTTAATCTTTATATCAACCAATGAATGAGGAACTATTGTTACTCTAATGTTATAGACAGGAAACTTAGGCACAAACTACACAGCTATAGTAAAAGGTAGAGGTAAAAGGTAGTAATTTATTTTACAGAGGGAATGAAAATTGTGGCTAAGTCAGACAGTTAGTTCCAAGGATAGTTTCAAGTGGAACTGACTCCACTTGGCTGATTAACCAGGTTAGCTAGATCCTACCCAAGTACACTGCAGCAGTTGCCTTCAGTGAACATGCAAGGCGCTTTCTAGAGAGACAGATCTGGGACTTCATGGAGCTTGCAGAACTGGTTGTATGACTGCTTGCTAATAAGTGTTTGATGATTTTGGCCTGAGACGTATCTTTCACTGTAACAGATCACCTGGAGCAAGGTTGTGGCTAGCTCAACCTATCTTTTAACTATTGGAGGCTGCTGATGTCTGCCTTAAAGATGTTAATAAGTATGAATGACCAGATTGACTTAGGTTAATCTGTAACCCCCTTCTTCCTTAGTTATCTTCAGCTGGAAGAAATCTAGTCCAAGAGAGTCAAATAATGTCTTCTGAAAATTGATCACAGGCCTCGGAGACTACTGGGGCTGTAGTCTCTGACATGAAGCTATTCCTGCAGTTGTGTGAGAATTTGGAATATGGGGTAAGGCCTACAGGTTAAAATTTCAAACAACCAGCAGTTAAAAATTTAACGTTCTTCCCAAGCATGATAGACCTCTTGGGTGTTTGTTTGTTTGTTTGTTTATTTAATTTAGAGACAGGATCTTGCCCTGTTGCCCAGGCTGGAGTGCAGTGGCATGATCACAGGTCACTGCAGCCTCGAACTCCTGGGTTCAAATGATCCTCCTGCCTCACATTCCCAAGTAGCTGAGACTACAGGTGCGTGCCACAACACCAGCTAATTTTTTTTTATTTTTTGTAGAGCCAGGGTCTCGCTATGTTGCCCAGGCTGGTCTCAAACTCCTGGGCTCAAGTCATCCTCCCATCTGGGCCTCCCAAAGTGCTGGGATTACAGGCGTGAGCCTGGGCACTTTAAATTCCAATGGGAAGGGAGTTATGATCAAAGCCAGTTGAGGTTAAAATGACTGTGGCTGTCAGGGTGGCTCCTCTTTCCTTTTGGTTCACTGCTGACCAAATCCTGCCTCAGCAACCCCGTCTCCTCTGCATCCACTGTATGTGCCCTCATTGGTTGTTGCCCTGTCTTAAGTGTCTCCAAGTTCAAAAGACATTGGAGATTTTGTGAGAGGAGACCAGGCCAGGAGGGGAAGAGTTGCAAAATAAAAAAAAGAAAAAAACAAAAAAAGAAAGACATTGTAGATTTTGGCCTTGTTGGTTGTCTCATATCACAAGGAATCTGACAGTTGCTTTTGAATTGCAGGAGTATTTAGATTTTGCGGTGAGAAGCACAGAAATGATACTTTTAAAATGTCTTAAAAAATTACATATGAATATAAATAATGAAGAATACCTGAGTATTGAGTCTATATAATCCAATACAATTGATGCAACTATAGTATAGATCATACTCTCTAGACTTTCACACAAGCTTTTAAGTTTTAATTTCACAATAATTTGAAAAGTGATGTGCATAGTTGAGGTAAAATTTGGAATTTCTCTTTTCCTCCTAGTCCATCTAGAGCAGTGCTAATAGAACTTTACAGACAGTTCTAGTCTGTGCTGTCCAATATAGTAGCTGCTAGTCACATGTGACTATTGAGCATTTGAAAATGTGACTCACACTGACAGTTTTTAAAATTTTAATTAAATTTAAATATCCACCTGTAACTAGTGACTACCATATGAGGCAGCACAGATCTAAAATATGGTGATGACCCCGTATCAGGATAGTCTATGTTGCAGCCACAAAGAACCCTAAAATCTTGGTGGTTTATAAGAAAGGTTTATTTCTTGCTTGTGTTATGTGCTCACTTTGAGTTGGCTGAGGACCTGAATGGATGTAGAGCAGCCACCCTCTCACATGCTGCCAGTCAATACCGAGAGCTTGCATCAGCACTTAAACACTCTGGTCCAGAGGGGGCACACATCACTTCTGCTCACAGCCCACTGACCAGGACTGGTCACACAGCCCCACCTAACCAGGAAGCCAGGAGAGAAACCCTAACTGTATGCCAGGGGGCGGAGAGTCTCAGTAACAACTGCTGCAAACATGAGCCCCCTCCTTTCAAAATACAGAGAAGGGATCCCAAGGGACAAAGAAAGCAGTACTGCATGTGTTTTCTTAAAAAGTGGAGAACTGAGTTTCTTCAGAATTCGATTATCTATTACCTCCTTGATACTCATTAGCACAGATTTATCAAAAACAGGTAAGATGTGAAGCAAAAAGCAAATTTCAAACATTTTGATAAAAAGAAAAAGTCTTTATATAAACATAGAGCTGACAGCAGTCAGCATGTCTTGTTAGTTACACATAAGAAATATCTCTCAATAAGATCTGCAATGTAAAGAATAATCCATGGATTGTGTTTATATATTTGTAATGAAAATGAATGGAAGAAAGTATATTTGTTATTTTTTCTGGTGCAGAATATATATCCTTCATTTTTTATTATCAAGGAATAAAAACAGTCTCAAAAATGTCATGTAGATTTTAGCATTATGAGGACCTGATACTGTAGAAGACATCCTTCTATAACAGAATGTTATGGTACTAAACTGATGCTTGAGAAAATTTTTGAACTAAATGTGTAAATCAGGCTACCTATATAAATAAGAACCACCTAAGTCATTCTGTTTCTTAGTAAAACACAACCATATAAGCCAATTCTTCACATTTATGGAGCACAGTGTTTGTTTTTCATGTATTTCCAAGATATATCCATGTACTCTACAGCTGGTGGCACAGAAAGAGAAGTCTGCAAAGATTGAACAAACAGCATGCACTGTGGTATCCTTTATTTAAAAATTGTGAGCTAACTACAGTTGTAGTGTTCTCATTTACCATTCTGATGGTATAATAAACTGAGAGAACATTAACACAATTTCAAGAAGGCATTAGCCTGTAAACACACATATATACCACACACACACACAACATACACACACACAAGGATTATAGTCTAAACACAAAAGTGTTGGGAAAAAAGCTTTGACTACTCTAAATCAAATAAAAACCCTTTATTATAATAAACTGTGGCAATACTGTGGCTATTATGAAAAATATTGTAACTGTTTAAAAAGCAAAAAGGAAAATACTGGCAATTTGAAACTAGCAGCAAAAAGCAGATAAAAATAGAATCTGAAGATAACATAAGACTAAGATAAAAATTCTAATGTTGATACTGTGTAGAATTGCACTGAAGTAATTTAAAATTGGTTCTTAAGGAACTATTAAAAAGTCCCTTGAAATATTAAATTGCTTCACTTTACAAACAGTGGAAAAGAAAAAAAGTATTTGGAATGTTCCACACACACACACAGGAAATGTATTAGGTATATCAATTATGGTCTTTGTTTATGACCTTCAAAAAGTTTTATAAAGAAAAAATTTAAGTGCCAATGTAGTGAAAGAAAGTTAAAAATCCCTAAAGATGCAAGTCTGAGTGCATTTATCAGGTCTAAGAATATATCCAAGGTTGGGGGCAAGGCTTGATTGATGCACATTCAAGAAGAAAAATATTGTGGAACCCATAAGGTAGGTCAAGTTCTTTGGAGAGTGTTGAGAATGAAGATACGTTAAACTCAGACTATCTTGAAGGAGATTCCAAAGTATGTGGAGTTCTATAGCTTTTCAGTTGACATCTGTTTTATAGTGGCCAGTAAATAATTAAGACTAACTTTTCAGCAAACTGGTTTTTCCTACATTCAAACACAAAGATCTTTACCATACATGCAGAGCTGATATTCTATAACAACACAAATATGAAACCTGGTTTAAGAAGAAAAGCAACATTAGCAAGGATTTTGTTTCCATGGGTTCGTAACCAAATATCTGAAGCTGCTAGACATTTTCAAAGAGGGGATAAGTTTAGATATCTTACTGATTTTAGAAGAAAGGAGAATTTATTTTCCTAAGGAAGCCAGAGTCATTCATGAGCAGGGGACCTGTCTTCAGAATTTAAGAAGTAGAATGTCCTTGGTGCTTACGGTCATAACAAGTTCAGATCCAGAAAAACTGGCTGGTGGAATGGGGAAGAGAAATGGAAAGTTCAAACGTCTGCAGCGTACTTTGGAATAAAGTATGCCTCATAAATTAGAATGGCTCAACTGCTTTCAGAATGAAGTGCAGCAATACTGGAGAAGACCCAGTTTTCTGGAGTCAGGAGCTGGGAGAGAGAGGCTTTCCATGGCTAGGGACACTCTGGGCTGAGCTGTGGCTGCGCGCCCAGAGCCCTTGTTTCGGACTTATTTTTCATTATTGCATTCAGTTGGGGAATATATGACTTTGCCCAGATAAATTTTTCTTTTGGTTACTTTCTTTCTAAAGTCAATTGGTCAGGCAAGTTACTGGTGATTTCCCTTAAATGAAATCTAGCGGCACTAAGTATCTTAAGGTGCCAGCTAATTCAAATTAATGCCCATCAAGAACTGCTGTTGCTGAAGAATCAACCCCCAAATGACCTAACTAGATAATCTATCACACTAGGTGCTTTTACTACCTTGAGTTTTTTGAGTTTAGAGAAATAGTTCTTTTAATATGACTTATAATGCTTCTCTCTGGCTTTGTTCACTCTTCCTCTTCTTCCTCTTCCCCTTCCCCTTCTCCTTCCTCCATGGTTTCTACAATGAGCTCTGCTGTACAGGTGGCTTCTCCAAGACTGTTGACAGCCTTGCAGGTGTACTTGGCATCGTCATCCCCGCAAACATCGCTAATAATTAAAGAGCAGTTCCCATCCTCATCGTAGTCTATCTGGAAGTGGCGGGACTCCCTGATTGATTGGTCATCTTTGAACCAGACGACCTCAGGGTCTGGGTATCCTGCATCACAGGGAGAGAACACAAGTTGCAGAAGTTGTTATTCAATATTTCTTATCAACTTATGCAAGCAACTCCTAAGCTACCTCAACTGATTAAGGGGGTCAAGGAAAGAAATTATGATGTCGGCTTTCAGTATCTGTTTTGATAGGTATATTAGAATATGGGCATGTACTGTAAACACTAATATCTGAAACCCCAAATAGAATATTTTAAAGTTGTTCCATTTTCCACGCATGTTGGACTTGTACCAGCCTATAATCCCAGCTACTTGGGAGGCTGAGACAGGAGAATTGTTGAAGCCCGGGAGTTTGAGGCTGCAGTGAGCTATGATCAATCATGCCACTGCACTCTAACCCGGGTGACAGAGTGAGACCCCTGTCTCCAAAAAAAAAAGATTTAACTTAAATAAATTTAAATTAAAAATAAGAGTCAAAACAAATGTGAATAGGGGATCTTTTTGGGGTGATGGAAATGTTCTAGAATTGGACTGTGGTCATGGTTATATGACTCTATAAATTTACTAAAAATAGTTGAACTGTACAATTAAAATGGGTAAACTTTATGGTATATAAATTATAACTCAATAAAGCTGATAATAGCTATATAAAACCTAAGTTAGAGGAGCTGATAATATTGCTAAGAAAAAGAAAGCAATGTCTTAGTCTGATCAAAGCAGGTAATCTGCTTATAGGTAACTGGAAATGGACTGCATTCATTAGCCTCACTGTATGCATCAGTTATGTTTCTGCAAAGCTCAGCATTAAAAAACATAAAACACACACATATATAAATACATGTATATTTTAAAAGTGTATGGTACACATGTGTCACCAATATTGTACACATATATGCACACATACTTTTAAAGCTATACAATATATTCCAACTGACTTGCTCTAAATTTTGGAGAAGTATTTTTATAGGAAAAAAATTATAGCCCCAACCAGAATAAAAATGGTGCATAAGAAATTAAGAATTCTAGCATTGTTTTCAAGTAGAACTTTGTTTTTATCAAAACAGCATCCATATACTTTAATTTCCCATCAGAGCTCCAGGAAAAAGTTATACAAATACCAAGGATATAATCCCAAAGAAAAAATTAAGTACAAAGATGATAAGTACTGTGTTATTAAAAAATTTTAAAAAGAAAAAAAGGCGAGAACTTCAGAAGACCCAAGGGCAATGGTGATGGTGAGGGTTACAAGAGTGGCCCCAGAGCTTTCGGAATTATTCCCAGTCTGAGAACCTTCACATTATCAAAGGCAGTACCTCTACTTTTTTTTTTTAATTGAATGAAAAAAAGAAAAAGATTATGGTAGGCAAAGTATTTACAAGACACTTTGATAATATAAAGAGGCAGGAGAAAAACTGCTTTTTCATTCCTAACTTTGGGTTATTTCACTCAAAACACATTGTAGAGAGTCACATAGCTGGACAATCCCACAAAGTGGGACGCACATTTTGTTCTGACTGCTGGACTGTGCTATGTGGCCTTGGAAAAATTGCTTAACGAACTTCTGCGCTTTATTTCGTCAGACCAGAATGGGAAGTAACCCTCCACCCTAGTTGGCATGTGAAAGTCACAGACTTGTAGCAAAGTGGCCTGTCTCATCTCGCCCTTTTATCTTTCTAGAATATTGCAATCTGTGGAAACTGAAATGCCATGTGTCATCAACTTTCCTCATTTCTCAGGTGCCATGGCAAGATCTCTTTCAGGTCCCTTGAGCTCTGACCCCTCACAATCCTGTGTCGGCATTATTCCTGGCAAGCGGAGAAGCAGCATGGGGATGATGGCACTGAGAGCTTTGTCCCAGGTGCCTGGATCCCACCTGGCTTCAGTCTGAAGTCACATTGCATGCTCTCTCTCTGCACTTGCCAGTCCCGTAACTTTTCCCTGTACTCCATGACATCTTTAAAAAACTTAAGGTTTCCCCTTGTCACATATGTCGCCTCACAGAGCCCGGCGAGCAGCTCATGGGTTAGACATCTTCTTGCAGGCAGGGGGCTTGAACTCTGGAGCACGAGATCACTCACCGCCCCAGGTCATGCAGCCTGCGGGTGAGTGGTAGGGCCGACTCCACATGCCGTGCCCTTTGTGCCAGCCTTTCTTCGAGAGCCTTTTGTGGGCAGCACTTCACATGCTTCTCAGTGGCTTGCAAAGCTCATTTCATCAGTAAGTGTGTTCCATAGTCCACGGATAAACCATTTTTACACTTAGGCCCAGCGGCTGGTGTAAGTAGGTGAAATATCAAATGTGCCCTGGGAGAGTCCCTGAAGGGCACTAGCTTCCAGGAAGTGGGAGTGGAGAGAGTGGCCCCTTAAGATCAGCACCCCGTCACACATTTTCCCTCAGGCCTGGCTGTTCCTGGTGGTTCCAGGCTGCACGGAACTGCCAGGGCCCTGCCATCCAGCCACAGCCTGTGTGTGGTGAAGAGAAGCACAGCTACGACTTACCTTCAATCTTGCAGTCAAATCTAGCAGCACTTCCCTCCACAACTTCTAAATCACGAATGGTCTTAGAGAAATAGGGTTTTACATGGGGCTTTTCCTCGGCGACAGCCTCGAGGAAAGCTTGGGACACATCTTCTAGAAGACAGGGAAGAAGACCAGGTCATTTCTTCATTCCTTGTTTTCTCCTCTCCTCTAGTTTAAAAGAGCTAACTTAAAAAAAAAAAAAAGCTGCTATAATTTAGCAAATAATGCAACTCCTTTCTCCCGGGGACAGGTTGGCCTGCTGCCAAATGGTTTTTGGCAGAAGACAGAACTGTGCCCAAACTGAGGAAATATTCGGCCTCCCCTCTTCCCTTATGCTGACACGTTGAAAAGGGAAGTCATCTTTAAAAAGGATTTCTGGCTGCATTTCATGCTGTTTCGGGATTTAGTTAAGGGTATCTGAGAAGGATAGAACCTCACCAGCTTTCCTGGTCTCGGTACCACTTTGCCTTCCTCCTGCAGCAGGTCCTTCACCTGCTCCTTAGAAGGGAGGAGCCAGGTCCTACAGGCATCTTCCACTTGCCATAGTTGAGTTCTCCACACTCATACTGCCTTCCCGTTATGTGACTGCGGACCAGGATGTGGGAGTGGTCCAGGGGAAAGCCATAACTTGGAGGGACTCCTCTGTCCTCTCCCTCCCCTTCAGGCTGTTTCTGGGTCATCTGGGGAGTGGCAGGAGTGGCTCAGGAGGAATCAGGCCCATGTGCTGCAGACTCTGTCCCTAGCTGCAAGAAAGCTCCAGAGCTGCCAGCTACTGGCCTCACCAATTACCCTGCCTTTGTGCACCAAAGGGATCTAGACTCAGCTTCTCGCCTGTTGGTACAAAAGCACCAGGCAGTGAAGGATGGACGGGGTCTCTGGCCAAATGAGGCACCTCAAGAAGAAAAGGGCGAGGCCTTGCATGCACCTGAAACAGGAAGACGCCGAGGCCTTCACTGAGCAGTGGATGGGGCAGTGTCTCAAAGATAGTGGAGGAGTCACGAACCCTGGGTCTATGGGCAGGGCCCTGCCGGTCACCGTCTGCCCAACTCAAATGACATGATTTAGCAGCATGAATGATGTCAAAAGAATGTGGACTATATGAGTTAATTTTTGTTTAAAACAAAACCACAAATTCAGTAGAAAGTAGGATATTAAAAATGTTACACAACTATATGTGATTTTTATTTTATTTTTGCCTATCAATATACAAGTATTGCTTTTCTAATAAGGAAAAAGGAAGCTTCTAATAAAGTCTTGGTCAATTCTTATAAAAAATATAGGGAAAAAAATAGCTGAGGTCAAGATAAAAAAAAAAATAAGTCACCGGGAACAAAGATTTAAAAAAAAAAAAAAATAGCTGAGGTCGTCTAGTTCTATTAGATAAATACCGATTTTCCCTATGAAAATAGTTGAGCCTAAGGTTAAACGAATAAAGAATAATTACTAGACTTACTAATTGTTGTCAGGACAACCCGAAAGTATTTCCAAATTTATCCTTGTAGGGTGTATTTAAAAAACAAAACAAAACCATAACCTCCAAACGCCCCCCTGTCCCCCAACCCTTTCTTTCTCATGGACTGTTGGAGAAAACCCCCCTTACCTTCAGATTCTAGTTTTTCTGCATTGAGCGGGCTGGTTGGTGACCCTGTTGAGGATTTCCTGCCACTGAGCCCTGAGATCATTGCCATAGAGGACAGTCTTCCAATGGCTCTCACAGCATTGCCCGTTTTCTGGAAAATAGACACTGGGGTTGGACTCCAGCGGTGTCCCCAGTTCCAGCCCTCAGCGCCGGGGGCTCTGAGGAGAAGAGCCCAGCCCGGGAGGAGCGGCTGTTCCCCGGAGCAAGGGCCTCCGCGTGCCGAGGTCCGGCCAGAGGAGTGAGCCCGACCTTGCTCTGCTCAGCACTATCAGCGTGTCAGAAGATGTTCGGAGAATGGAATGGGGCCTGGAACTGATGTGTGCGTTAATGTGACTAAACAAGGTCAACATGAGACAAAAACCCTTTCATACTGTGCTTCAACTCCCATAAAAGGGATAGTTTATATAAAGCAACTGCAGGCTGAGACAGCTCGGAGACTTATTGCTGACTGGGCCTGGTGGGGCTGTTTCTTGTAAAACAATGCCAGCGATAGGATTTTAATTGCTCAAAAGAATAGCTACTACAGATGACACAGGTCCTGATGTGCAAAAAAGAAAAAAGCTTTCTAGCTTTCTGTTGGCCTTGGGCAAGTCACTTAACCTCTCTGGGCTTTAGTTTCCTTCTCTATATAAAGAGAGGCTTGGACAAGATGATCTCCAAAGTCCTATTTAGTTCTGTTTATGATTCGGATGCTTAAGAGATTTTGAGAAACACTCTGGCTGGCCCCAGCACAAGTCTACAACTGTGCTGTGAAATTCTGGAGGGGTGTTCTTCTATAGTGCAAGCTCAGGCACCAAAAAGAAGCACCCAAAGAAATAAAAGGCAATGGCATTTTGCTTTTCTGAGACTAAACTTGGGACAGGACAGAATTTCTCCTGAAAAGGAAAAGAACTTGAGATGTGATTGCTTTGCATTGTGAAAATTCTACCAAGTGTAGGATTTAGGTCATGAAATCCCCGACGATGTACAGAGATTGTATCTCTGTTTCTTATCTTTCAATAAAGTTTCTCACCTTTTTTCTAAGGCCAGTGGGAATGACTGAGATAAGAAAGCTAAGGCACAACGAAGTCCTTCCACGCCTGCACCCAAAGCATCTTTTTCAGGCATTCAAATATTGTGCGTCCAGAGAGCAGATGTCACCACGGACTGGCTACTTGTGTCCCCTTCTGAGAGAGGAAGGAAGCAGCCTCTCCATAGGCACATGGTTTGCATTCACTCATTGGACCTCAAACTGTGCCAGCAAAGCCATTTTCTCTGAATTAACTTCACATGCTCAAGTATTTCAGTAAAGCCTCACAATTTTGGACTAGCGGAAAGCTATTAATAGTATACTTCAATATAAAGATTATTTTGAAAGTAAAGAACTTCAGGATGCTAAGGAATCATACAAAAAATTGTGTATGTGTGTGCACATGTGTGTATGGCTTAAGTGGAGACCTACTGCTGCAACGATGATCACTTTATGCCCCACGCCCTTCTTCCTGCAGACTGTTCTCATGCATTTTGGACAGACATTCCACCTTGCTCTGCCCTCTGGCCATCTGTTCTTGTACACATCACTGTGTGGTGTGGCTATGCTTCTGGTTTTCTGCTGCCATGGTGAGGCTGGGTCACTGGACAGAACTCAGGCAGCCCCAGGTGGATGATGAGGAAGATGGTGAGAGATGGCAACCGACCAACTGCACTGTGTGCAGAAACACCGTGCCCCGCAGAGAATGCCCCTGCAGACTGATGCCACTTGGCAACCTTTCATGCTCTTCTGGGAGAGGCTGTTACTGGTGCCATGGTTCGTTTGTTTGTTGTGCTAGCTGGAGAGTGGAGAGACCCAGCTCTTCCCATGGGAGGTTACCCTGCCCTCAGGAAAGGGTAAGAGGTGGTGTCAGCTATGGCAGCCCTCCTTACGGGAGTCAGCGTCAGACCAGCCTACTTCCTAATCAGCCCAACTTCAGACCAGCCTACTTCCTAATCAGCCCAACTTCAGACTCCGCCCTTCTCGGCACTCCATTCCCTTTATCCAGCACAGATGGGTTTGCCCTGGGCTGGGAGTCTCTAAACTCAGAGGATTCATTCCCAACGGGGCAGGTTAGCTCTCTAACCACTGATTGCTGGGTGACCTTGTGCAAGTCAGTTCCCTTCAGTGTCCTTGGGCCAGAGGATTCTAATCTTGCTGCCTCTAGTCTGCTACAGAAAGACTGAACACTCCCCTTAAGCCATGGGCTCCCTAATTCCAGACATCTGCATGGTACTGATTAGGACTGTCTCCACTTGTGTGGTGCAGAGAGATGATGTCTTTTCTTGATTTTAATTTGTAACAAAACGACTAATACGAAGTTATCAGAATGAGGCAAACAAAGGAGTTATAATATTTCAGAGGAAGTAGCAAATATATGAACAAATAAGTAGGCCTCATGTAGGGGGAATTTTCCAGCAGATAGAGATACTCAGCATATAATTTGTAAAACAGGGAGAAATGTAAAAAAATACGTGATAGGGAAAAAAATCTAAAAACAATTTACATTAGAATTCGATCTTTGGAAACTGATTTGTGAAAAAAAAAATTGGTAAGGAAGTTCTTTGTCAGAAATATATCTGTATGTTTCTAGTCTTCCAGTTTCATGCCTTTGAGCTGAGAATTGGTTGCTGCTTTACTGACCAAGACCTTTGGAAATTTTTGGAACATCAAAACAGCAAAGTTTCAGTTCTCTAATTTCCATCCTTGTTTTGAGAAAGCCTTTTTCTTGATTGAGGGCAGTTGCCAAGGCTGGGTTCCTTGTCCCTGGTAGGCAGTATCTGTACCAGCCTCCTTAATTGGAGACTGTACCTCCCTCAAGCTTGCAGAGCTAGGACGGCCCCCCAGGTTTAGGGTCTTTCGGTGCTAATACCAGAACAATCCTGGGCAAACCAAAGCAAGCTGGTCACCTCCACACCAGCCAGCGCCTGCCCCACCCCCACATATACTAGCAGCCCCAAGATTACGATTTCCTCTGAGCAGTAGATACTATCCAAATGGGATGGCCAAGCATACTCCGTGCTATGTTGAGTCTAACGCTTTCTCTCCTATTGCCCTTTGGTCCATGCCACTGGTGGTTCCCAGAAAATAAAGACAGTTGCCTCTGAGCCTCCACTTCCTAGCTTTGGTTCTGGTTTGCATGCAGAAGTCCGGCTATCTTGCCCACTTACCTACCCCCATTGCTATGCCTCCCCAACATGTCTTGTAAAATTATTTTCATACAAGTCTAAAATATATCTTCTTTCAGAATAACTTCATTCCTAGGTGAATAATATGATTAGTCATCTGTACCTAGCCTCGCCTTGCTTGTAGGGATCTGTTCCCACATCACTTCCGTCCTCCTAGGGCGTTTTATGAAAACCGTGCCAGGACAAGAAGGTACCTTCTCTGGCGCAGCTGTAGAGCGTTCTGGGCCTGCCCTGGCCCTCTTCCTCTCCCACGGCCCACCCGGCCGCGCCCCACTACACAGAACCTTGGCCACTGTGAGAGGGAACTCCTGTTCTGGGGGAGCTAAGGTCCCAGGGACTGGACTTAAAATGTGGAAAACATTTTCCTAAGGAAGCAACGGAACACAAGATGGTCAGACATGGCTGAACCAGGGAAATGGTGCTTCAGGGACATTACTTGTTGAATGGGATTTTGTGGACTACTTTTGTGTGCAATTTTGTGAAACGTGTCCACTGATTTTGTGGAAAAATCATTTCCAGATGCTGCCACCTATATTAACATGTGACATTAAGGTTCCTCCTCTGAATTCTACCCTTTTCCTCTCTCTCCCTTCCAAAAGACCTTATGGCACTGTAAACAACAAGAAAAAAATTTAAGTGATTAAAATATCAGCACAAATTATGGTTTCCTGACTGACCTGGCTGAAGGATTCCATTTGCCTCCTCTCCCACCTCCTTGTCTCTTTTATCCCCTGGGCACAGGCGTCCTCCTGGCAGTGGTCCACCTGCAGTGCTCCAAGGTGACACGGCTCTCTCCTCAGAGGACTGCCCCCTCCCGACACCAACTGCCTTATCTTTCCAGAAGTATTTCTGTGAGATCTGCTGGCCATAGGATCATGAATAAAGCCAACCTTTGATTTTGTGGACCCCTTTTTGTTTTTTGTTTCTTAAAGAATAGTTGCTACTCTGATCCTAATGACCCCAGGTGAGCAGCACAGGTGCTCCCCCCGCACTTGAGGGCGGCCAGGAGACCCACCTAAACCTTCACACAAGGGCGCCTAAGCAAGAGCCAACTGCCAGTGCAGAGGAGCCCAGGCTGCGGTGTGCTCGGGACGACAGTCCCCGAAACCCCGCACTGTGGTCCCTCGTTCACCTCTGCCCTTCTCTCAACTTTGTGTGAACTTGTACTTTTTGAGGAAACTCTGGTTTAGTCACCCTGTGTGGCAAATGACCAGTGTTCCACTTGTCCCCGAAACAGCGATTTCCTTTTTCTCTGCACTTAGGCAAGGGCCCAATGCTCCCAGGTCCCCTGAGTCTCCAGCTAAAAGACTCTGCTCCTGTCCAGCCCACCCAGGAGTGGGGTCCAGTTCCCGTCCCTGTGCCTTTTCTCCCCTGTGCTGCCACCCACCCCTTCTCTGTGTTCTTGCTCAGGTTCCGTCCCTAACTTCACGCTCCTGCCCCCGGGAGTGTTTCCTCACAGCCACAGCCAACTCTGGTTGCAGTGCCCCACCGTCCTGTCCACGCTGCTCCGATGGCTTCTGATTCTTGGTGTGCGTCATGTCCTTCATGCCCACGTGCTTCGGTTCCCCATTACACACACATCCCGAGTACAGAACCCATGTCCTCTCCAGTAGCCTAGAAATTGTTTAATACTAATTGTGATGATAAAAATAATAAAATAGATGATGATGGTGATAAGTACTCTCTGATTCTGGATAATGATTTTATCCATCCTGTTGTAAGAGGCAGTTTTGTGTTGTTAAGGCTGTGTTCTTTAGAACCAGGCTCTGGGTTTGAATCCTGGCTTTTCGACTTATTAGCTGTGTGATCCCGGGTGACTTTCCTAACCCCTTTGCCTTGCTTTGTCTGTAAAGTGGGGATGATAACAGTACCTGCCTCCTAGGATTAAAAGACTTAGTGCACAGAAAGTGCTTTGAATGGTCCCCAACACATGGCCAGCCTCAATACCTATTAGCTACTGGTATCATTTTTGAACACTCACTATGTGGCAGGCGTTGTACTAAACGCCACATGAAGATTATCTCGTATAATTATCACAACAGTGCTGTGAAGTGAGTACCACTATTATCCCCACTTTACAAATGAGAAAACAAATCCACAGCAAGTTCAAGCCACTTGCTAAGGACACATAGCTATTAACATACAACCTCCCTCGAGGGTGGGGGCCATGTCTTTCTCTTCGTCATCATGAGGAAGTGCAAGATCATCACACTGCCTTTAAGGAGATCACACTCTCCAGGGTTGCCAACTAGACCTCAAGGTGGCATTGCCCATCCCTAGCCATGAAGACATGAAATGTCTGTGGCCTGACCTGAGTAAGGGACAGGCTGCGTGAAACCTCCCCTACCCATCCCTCTGGGACAGCACTGAGCAGGATTGGGGAGAGAGCTGTAGTTAAGAACCCAGTTTCCCCTGAGAAAGGGACTCAGTGCCCTGCACTAAGCAGAGCACTGTACCTTAATCAACTGCCTAAATTGGTCCCAGACTATTTCAGAAACAAATCTGCACTTTCTTGAAGTGAGGCCCGGGCAAGCTGGGAATAAAAGTGGCTTGCATAAAGAAAACAGGAAGGACAACATCCCAGTCCAAAGTGACCCTCGCATTACCTGCCATTTCCTCCTGGCCATATATTTCTTCATCCGGTCCTTGGAGAGCTTCTTGGCCTCCATGTTCTTGGTGTCTTTCATTAGCCATGGGTGCTGAAGGCACTGGGTGCAGTCCAGGCGGTTTCTGATGGAGGCAGAGATCAGAGGATTTCTGAGCAGGAGGAGACCTCAGAGGCCACTGGCCAGATTAGAAATGGGGGATCACCTGTCCCCAGTCACACGGGACAGAGGCCAGGGCTCCCAGTCCATCCCCCATGACCAGGTCACCGAGCTCTTCATCTTTCCTCTCTGGGTCTGTTACACTGACTAGACCCAGCACAGCTCAGTGTCAAGAAGGCCTAACCACCAAGAAAGTAAATAGAGTCCTGTGACCTGCTCTTGGGGTCTAGGAAGAGTGCGTGCTGCAAGGCTGACATGTCTGGGGAGGGCTGGCACCATATTCTAGGGTAGGGGGTCATTCCATTGGGCACAGGAGAGCTGGGGCCCACGGAGCCTAATCCTTCTGCGTCCCTGTCTGGACAAGTGGAAGGTGAAACACTAGGATAAAACCTCTGAGAATCACTGAACTTTCATGTCTTGTGATGTGGTGGAGTATCAGGTTTTTCCTGTTACAACTCAAATAAGTATGTCCTACATATAGCCTGTGAATTACAACAACCTGAGAACTGTACTGAAACTTGTTTAATCCTTCTGAAAGCTCTGGGGATCTAGAAATATTTTAGGGCCATCACCTTATTTGTAACAGGACCAATAAAGCCCAAAGAACCAAATGGTAATATACATAGAAAAATGACTGGAAAGCAGTGTACAAAATGTAGTAATCTTTAGATAAAGGGATTATGGATGATTTAAATTTTATCATGTTTCAAATCTTCTACAATTTACATGTATTACTTTTATAATAGAAAAGGATTTTTTAAAAGTGCTGATGGATGCAGATTTCTGGTTGAAGAGATGCTGGATATAAGATTTTATGGGAATTTAGTGTCTTGATCTATTTGAGTATGATCAATTCTTTGGTGAGTCCATTTTATGAGCACAGAGGGGCCTAACACAGCCTGTTACTGAATTAATTCAAGGTCAGATGAGAAAATAAGGTGTATATACAATAGCTTATTTACCAACTCTTCAGTGATTGAAGCTTGGTTGACAAAAGCCATGCTTGGACAAGAGTCACTGGAGGGAGGGTTCCATCTCCGGAAGCACCTTGGGCGTGGGGGATCCCTCACATTGGAAGGGACTCTAGACTCCCCACAACATCCTCATTCTGCTTGGATTGTGCCCATTTCTGATACAGACTGTGACAGCACAAGTCTAGAAGACCTCACTGTAAAGGAGTGTGAAACGTAGCCTCTGGGGGAGTTTGGCCCTGAACTGGCTAAAAAGGACCTAGAAGAGGGTGGGTAACAGGAAAACCAGACCCGGCTGTCTAGGACACGCTCCAGCATTGCTCCTGTAGCAACTGCGTTCTGCTCAGATGAGCGTTTTCCCCAGAGGGGAGCCAGGTGCAAAGTCACCTGGGGAAGGCAGAGCCTCCTGCAGCCCAGGAGCCAGCCGAACCTCCTCTTCTCCCAGCACACCAGCAATCTCACCACCCTTCTCAGGCAAGGCTACAAGCGCTCCCTGGGATTGCCAAACTGCTCCAAGCTCCTGGGTGCACCTGCAGCCAGGCCCTGCCTCATCTGGCCACCGAGCTAGAGTGGGTGAACTGCCACCAGGCTAGCAGGTATCACCTGACACCCCACTACTCCCTTCTCCTGGGCAGCTCTCCCTAGGGTGCACAGCTTCCCTCACCAGGACAGTCCTCACCAACAAATCCTGTCTAGCCACACCCCCTGCCCACTGCCAACCCCACTTCCCGGCTCTGGTCCCTTTCACTGCCCTTTCCCCACAGCCTCAGGCCCAGGCACACTGGCCTCCCATGTTCCGAGCTATGCCCAGGCAGCCCAGAGGGCAGAGGTGGGGAACCTCACAGTTTGCACTGTTGGGGACTCGGGACAGAGATGGAGCGGGGAGAGGGCTGAGCCCACTGGTCTGGGATCACAGCTTTCCTTTGGGCAGTGTTAGAAGGCCCCTGGCCATATTCAGACAGGCAGTTCTTAAGGAATTTAGATATGAAAAACACAGCAAGCCATAATAATCTGGGGACATGATCAGGAACCACAAATAGGTTCTAAGGATGCCTCTGTCACTGCTCCTGTTTGTTGACAGGGTACTTTCCCTGCAGCCCTTGAAGAGGGGCTGAGGTTCCAGCAGGGCTTTGGCAGGCCACAACCAGAAAATAAAAGGGGTGGTCATTATTCATGCAGAACAAGCCACCCCACTGCCTGCAACTCCGTTGGTCAAGTGTCACTTTTCAAGTCAGGTTTCCGTGCTCTTTCTAAAGATGAACATAGTGTCTAGCACCAGGGAGCAGGGGCCTAGGAAGACCTCCTTCCCTCCCCACATACGCTCAGGCTGGGTGCCTCACAATGCCTGCCATCCCCTCCTCAGAGAACACCAGGACTGGCCGGAGCCCGAGTGGAAGAGGCAGCTCCAGCGGGCACAGGGAATCCCTGCCTTCCAGCCCCGGTGCAGGGAGTGGGAAAGCTGCAAAGACTGGACTCTCAGCTCATTACTTCATATCTTTCTTCAATAAATTGCTGATAAAATCCTTGGCATCGTCGGAGATCTCATCAAACGCCTCGTCATCGAAGTCCCAGGTGGCTGAGGTAACATTGGCTAAGGTTTCATTATCGTTGTCACCCATGAAGGGGGAAAGTCCACTGACCCTGGGGAGATAAGAGCAGGAAAGCAGGGGTGAGTGGAGGAGAGTGGGAAGGCCCCCCAAGTGAGTGCTGAGGTCCCAGGTGAGGGCTGGCAAGCCCCCTACACCCCCAAACTCACGCTGTGGGTCCTGCACCTGCCTTTCCTTCACCTGTGGAAAGAAGACAGGATGTGTCTCCCCACAGGCTTCTGTGGCCTGCCTTTTCTCAGTTGCTCACCAGACTTTTGGGTATCACCTGCCTCTGGACACCACCTGCCTGGGAGGCTGAGGTGGAGGGAATTTGGTTTAGTTTGTAGACTTCCACAGGGCATACAGCAGGGCTGATATGCCCCTCGGTCCTTGTCTTCTATTCTTCCCCCAAACCCAGCATAGAATCTTCCCTAAGTCCCTTCCTCCTGCATGAGGCATAGCAGGCATCACTGCACCCTTTTGTCCCCTCCCTCCCACCTCTTATTTGTATACCTTCAGCTCGAAGAAGAAAGCCCAGCACATAGGTGAGGCCCAGCAAGTGTGAGCCCAATGAACGGATAGACTTTGAATCAGCAATGTGGGTTCAGGGCTTCTGAGACATTGACACCAAACCAGAAGGCTTCCCTACCAGGTACTGTGGCAGAGGAAAGAGCGTAGCCTCTTCATTTGCTGGGTGGCCTTGGGCAATTCCCTCATCTCTGTGTCACAGTTTCCTCCTCTAAAGTGGAGAATCTACTACTTCACTTAGGACGGTCATTCCTTCATCATCAGCAGCATCATCATGGCAGCAAACATTTATCAAACATTTACTATGTGCCAGGCACTGGTCAAAAGCTTAAAATAGATGCACACATTTAATCTTAATACTGTCCCATAATGCGGGTAACTCTTAAAATGTTGTCCTACAGATAAAGAAACCAAGGCACAGCACAGGGTTAGGTAACCTGCCCAAGGTTCTCACAGCCAGTGAGATCCCAGGCATCTGTCTTTAGAGCCTATCCTCTTAGCTGCTGTACTACACTGACATTTCCATGAATATTTAGTAAATTGCAGTGCGCAGCACTAGCTCGCAGCCTGGCCACAGTAAGGAGCCCATTCATGACCTGAGCTATTGCACAGTTCTCTGGGCTCCCTCCACTGCCTTAAAGCAGTCTGTGATTGCAGCAATGACTCATTTACCAGGAGCTTAAGCCAAATAGGCGTGGGAAGGTAAAGGATCTCAAAGCCGAATAGCCCAGATTTATGGCTTATTGGCCTCCCCTCTCACCTTTGTGCACTTCATCTTCATACCAGCAACCCACCCCACCTTTCACGCTGATGTAGGGCCAGCCTCATGGGTGTTCGACCACGCAGTTGCCCGGAGTCCCACCATTAGATGAGGCCCATGCTTGGTTTAATGCTCTGCTGCTGTCATCTTGAAATTCTTAATAGTGTTTGAACAAGTGAACATCTTTTTTATTTTGCAAATTATGTAGCTGATCCTGCCCTGACCCCAGCTGAGCCCCATGAGATGGGTCTGGGGCCCTTATGCCATCAACTTCTCAAGTTAGGGCTTTACTAATGTCCCTTCTCCCAAATCCTTATGAACCCATCATCATACACAACAATATGCTAACACTGAAGTCCCCAACCCCTGGCTGTGGCCTGGTACTGGTCCGTGGTCTGTTAAGAACCAGGCCACACAGCAGGAGGTGAGCAGTGGGCAAGCGAGGGAAGCTTCATCTGTATTTACAGCCGCTCCCCATAGCTTGCATCACTGAGCTCCACCTCCTGTCAGATCAGCAAAGGCATTAGATTCTGCATTATGGTGAGTTGTATAATTGTTTCATTATATATTACAATGTAATAATAGTAGAAATAAAGTTCACAATAAATGTAATGTGCTTGGGTCATCCTGAAACCATCCCCCCTGCCACCTGGTCCGTGGAAAAATTGTCTTCCTTGAAACTGGTCCCTGGTGCCAAAAAGGTTGGGGACTGCTGTGCTAACAGCTTTTGGAGAAGTTTTGGCATTTGAGAGGCCTAAGCTTATGAAATATACCTGTACCCAAACACTGAGTTTGATAGAACAAAACCCACTTAAGAAATATTGGGAGCCGGGTGCAGTGGCTCACGCCTGTAATCCTAGCTCTCTGGGAGGCCGAGGCGGGCGGATTGTTTGAGCTCAGGAGTTCGAGACCAGCCTGAGCAAGAGCAAGACCCCGCCTCTACTAAAATCAATTAAGAAATTAATTGGCTAACTAAAAATATATAGAAAAAATTAGCCGGGCATGGTGGCACATGCCTGTAGTCCCAGCTACTCAGGAGGCTGGGGCAGTAGGATCACTTGAGCCCAGGAGTTTGAGGTTGCTGTGAGCTAGGCTGACGCCACGGCACTCACTCTAGCCAGGGCAACAGAGTGAGACTCTGTCTCAAAAAAAAAAAAAAAAAAAAGAAATATTGGGAGAAAGCTTGCCATGGGAGGAACCCTCTGGTGAAATGTTTTATAAAGAAAAGAAAGCTTTTGCAATGTGAATTATCTCACCCTAATCAACATATTTATGGTTTTGAACAATAGATTTTTGCAGATGGCATTTTCTTACAGCAAGATGCTGATTTATATTTTAAGGGGGCAAAGAGAGAATCATTCCTGGTCATGACCCCATGAGAGAAGGGTAGGAGTTCACCAGTTCCTGAGTCTGCGCTATTTTATGCAACTTCTTTTCCTTCTCTGGCCTCAGTTTCCCCTTTTCTACACCAAGGGGCCTGGGCTAGATTTCCCAGGGGCCTCCCAGCTCTCCTCATCTCTGTGATCCCAGGTGGCCTAAGCAAGCCCCATGGAGAAGCAGCCTGTCCCTTGCATATCAGCTACCTGCTTCTTCTGGTCTTTACATTTTCTGAAACAAAGAGCGGGGAAGTCCTGCAGCACTGTGAAAGATGGCAGGAAAAGCAAACAACCCTGCTGTGGAATGCTGAAAGGTCCCCCTCTGCAAACCTCCTTTCCTAATTAGGAACTGTAATCCTGCAAAGATAGGTCTCAGTGTCTCTACCCTCCAGCCGGGGAGCTCCTCCTTCCTGGCAGCCCATCCGTCTGAAATACCCTCTGTGCCCCGGCTGGCTCCTGGCCTGCCCGAGCTCCCCCTATTCTCCCTATTAAAGAGCATGTCGAGTTCGAGACCAGCTTGAGCAAGAGAAAGACCCCATCTCTATAAAAAATAGGAAAATTAGCTGGGCGTCGTGGCCTGCGCCTATTGTCCCAGCTACTCAGGAGGCTGAGGCAGGAGAATCACTTGAACCCAGGAGTTTGAAGTTGCAGTGAGCTATGACGACACCACTGCACTCTAGCCTGACCCTGTCTCCAAAAGCTAAACCAAACCAAACCAAACAAACAAAAAAACACATATCTAGAATAAAACATGGAATATATGCACGGCATGATGACAAAGACAAAGAGTGTTTGAATTTTCAGTGATACTATTTCTGGGTGGTAGGGTTTTGCAGGATTTTTAAAACGTTTTTCTTTATTGCTAGAATTTGCATAAGGGATATTTTTTTAATTAAAAAATAGTCATTATTTGTTAAAAATCAACCAGTCAACAAATACAGTAACTTGCTCTTCCTGCCAGAAATCAAATGAGTATTGCTAACTCCAGGTATCCACGCAATCTAATGTCTCCCTTCAGACTCAGGGGTGGGGGTGGGGGTCTCCACAACCCCACAACCCCACACCTAGTCCTTCCCTACACTGCCTGGAGAGCACAGCCCAAGTCCCTAGAGAGCTAGTAGATGGGCTAGTGTCTCCGGTACCCAGACAGGAACTGCCCTGATCTCCGGGCAGGTGCGTGCAGGCCTAACTGCAGGAGCTCCTCCATGGAGTCAGACAGCCTGCTGAGACAGAGCTCGGCACTTCCCTGCAACTCTCTGGCCTCTCCTCTCTCACTGGCCCCAGCGAGGAGATCAGGAAGGGTTCTCTGGGACAAAGGTGGAAGTGGCCCTGACTGGGACTTCCAGACAGACAACCAGCTCCAAAGACAGGGGCAGAGTGGGGCAAAGGATGCCGCAAGGGCCACCAGAGAACCTCGTCTGGATGCTTCCTTTCTGCGGCAGCTCTAGAGTTCTGCATAGCAGGGCCTTAAAGGAAGCCCCCTAGTGGCTCCAACTTTTCTTTACAGCACCATTCTCTGCCGAGAGCCAGAGCTCAGGAGGGACTCCCAGACCTCCACCCTCTGCACTGGGCCAGCCCCCAAAAGCCCCAGAGGGCAGTGGCCCACAGTGGGGCATCCCAGATCCAGGAGCTGCCCAGGGCTGACCCAGCCTGAGCCAGTCACCCTGCCACACACACCCCTCCTCCCTCCTGACACCCCCTGTCCAAACACTTTCAGCATCAAAATGGTCTTCATCCCATTTCAAAAACTCTTTGGTCTCAGCTTTAAAAGTAATCTAAAAGTTCAATAGTCAATATATTCCATAGTAATAAAAAAGGCAAAAAAAAAGAGGAAAAAAAAGTAATCTAAAAGTAGGCAAACAAAGTAGCATAGTACCCAAATTACTACGTTTTTCCACCTAGAACTGTCATTTTACAATAAAGTATTCTTATGACCTAGTAGTTCCAGTTCTACATTATATATCCAACCAACAGAAGAAATGTATTAAGTATGTTCACTGAAACACATGTACCAGAATGCTTGTAATACTCCAAGATGTTGTAATATCCCATGTAGTTTGGAAACTACTCAAACATCCATGAAAATAGAATAGATAAATTAATTGGATTATATTCACACAATGGAATACTCCATAACACTAAGAATAAACATCTACAACAACAAATAATACTACGAATGAATCTCACAATGTCAAGCAAAAAAAGCCAGACACTTTTTCTGTATGATTTCATTTATATCAAGTTCAAGAACAGGTGAAGCTAACCCATGATATTAGACATGAGGATAAGGGTTACCCCCGGGGACAGAAACAGGATGGGGCACCAGAAGACCACAGGGCCCTGGTAGTATTTGGTTTCTTGATCTGGGTATAGGTGACACAGGTGTATTCACTGTGAAAACTTACTGAGCAATCTAGCCACTGCTCTGTTACTGACCAGCAGAGAGACCGACTGTCCTAGTTTGCCTGGGACTGTCCCCGTTTTGGCACTGAAGATCCTGTATCCTGGCAAACATGGGACAGTTGGTCGCCCTGCCCAGCCTGTGGGAAGTGGGCAGCCATGTGGGCTTCCTTGGCCCCAGTCACCCCAATGCCAAAGGAGCATGGCGTCCCGGCCATGGCCCACCAATCAGGATCCTACGTGAAAAGCGTGGCTGCAGATGATCCCTGTGCCACAGTGGTGGAAGGACTGACTGAAGGGAAAACAGCAAGGCAAGGGTCTTTGATGGCTGGAGAGAGTCCCTGGGACCAGGCAGGCTGTAAGGCAGCCGGGTCTGCACCGAGCGACCTGGCCGAGGATTGCTTCTCAAGGGTCAGAGATCAGTGTGAGCACCGTGCAGGCCAGGGACAGCCCTGGAAGGGGCAGGCTGGGACCCGCCCTGCTGTTCCTTACTTACCAAGGGAGCCAGGAGCAAAGCACTTGTTGCCTTCACTCACCAGCCCCCTTCTCTGGGAGCAGGGAGGGGTTGGGGGAGGCAGGGAAATGCATGGGCCAGGGGCTTCTCCGCTGATCTGGGGGAGGGTGTGGTGCTGGGGCTGATCCCAGGCAGGGAAGAAGATGACTGTCTGGGGCACAGAACCTGAGGCACAGGTCCCGCGGACGGAGGCTGTCCTAACAGGACACCGTGAGAGTAAAACTCCTGAGCGTGTGAAAAAGCCACATTGCACAAAAATCACCCCACTCTGCTAAAGCTTTTGTAATACTGGCTCCTAAACCCAACTGTGCATCCGAATCACCATTCTCAAACTGGGGTCTGAAGCCCCCAGAGGTCTGAGAAAGTATCCGTAGAGGTCCTCCTGAAGTTTTCTATGAAAATACTACATTTTTCTTTTGTTTTGACAACAAAAATATTTTTTAATGAATGCACACATATCTGGATCTTCAGGAAGACCATCCTATAACTGCATATTGCTACACAAGTTCAGGGGCTGCCTCTGAGGCTGATGACTGTCTGCAGCCTGGGGCTTCAGGGACTAAATCAGTGAGAACCCCCAAGGCTGTGTCCTAGAGCCTCGTTACTCAAAATGTGGTCCTTGGACCAGCACCATCGGCAACATGGAACCTGTTAGAAATGTGGAATCTCAGGTCCCCCAGGCCTGAATCAAAACCCAATTGAAGGAGACACCTGGAGGATTCACGCACGCTGACATCTGTGAAGCCTGGCCGAGGCTGCTGGCCACCCTCTCTTTCTGCAGTGTTGTTAATTGAAATGGCCTCATATTTTCCACCTGGTTTCTCAGCTCTAATTACTGTGTTGCTCTCTGTTGTCTGTGGGTTCCATCAAAGACTACCTTCAGAAGTGTTTATTCTGTGATCCTAGCAATCAGGGAGGCCGAGGCGGGAGGATCGCTCGAGGTGGAGTTGAAGACCAGCCTGAGCAAGAGTGAGACCCCATCTCTACTAAAAATAGAAAGAAATTAGCTGGACAACTAAAAATATATAGAAAAAATTAGCTGGGCATGGTGGCACGTGCCTGGAGTCCCAGCTACCTGGGAGGCTGAGGGAGGAGGATGGCTTGAGCCCAGGAGTTTGAGGTTGCTGTGAGCTAGACTGACACCACGGCACTCTAGCCTGGGCAACAGAGCTAGACTCTGCCACCGAAAAAAAAAAAAAAGTATTTATTAGTTCGTCCTTATACTGGACCCAGAGATAAGCCTGGCCGCGGGGGCCCCGCCCTGTGAGGATGGGGTGCTGTCCTCTAAGACAATGAGGATGCCCAGGGATAGGCACCTGGCTCCCTCCCTCCTTTGTGGAGCCACCTACATAAGTGAGGGTACATAACACAGTGCCAGCCACATTTCCCACCCTCCTGACCAAAGGCTCCAGGCTGGCCAGCCTTGGGGACAGTGAGGGCCTGGGGTGGTGACCCTGGTGTGTGGAGCTACATGATGCTACAGAATGTGATGCAGGCTAGTGACCTGTTGGGAGCCCACACCTTCCCAACTCTGGGGAGGGATCCCCACCATGATCCACCCTGGCTGCTCCCTCACAGCGTCAGGGCAGCCTGGGCACCTTCTGCGGGACCCTCTGCCCTGCCCCATGTGCCCGGCACTCACAGGATGTAGCAGATGACCCCGATGCTCCACATGTCCGTGGCGTAGCCGATGGGCTCGTAGTTGATCACTTCAGGAGCCACAAACTCCGGGGTGCCAAAGAGGACCTTCAGAGAGCCCGCGTTCTCTGAAACCAGGACAGAGAGGGATCAATCGCCAGCACATCATGGAGCCAGCTCGGGTAAGCAGCTGCCCTCATCTGTGTGCCGGCCCCGGCCTGGGAGGGGCGCAGACAAGGGCCCAGGCTGCTCGGTCCTTGGGTGATGGCAGAGACATTCGGCCTCCTCGTTAAACAAGAACATCAACACACCTGTGAAACCAACACGCTGCACACTCACCTCACCTGAGTGGGGCAGCCGGTGCCGACGAGGCCATTAAAGCACCTGCCCTTGAGTGGTCCTTCTGACTTACGCTTGGTATTAATAATAATCTCTAACTTTCATTATGTCCTATGTACCCACTACCAGCTTTACAAGGATTTTCCCATTTCATATTCTCACCAACCCTAAGGGATGGGTATGATGCCCGTATTACCAGGGACGAGACTGAGGCCCGGGGAAGTGAAGTGATTCCTCCACCCAGTTAATAAGTGGGGGTCAGATTCAATCCTGGGTGGTCCAACTCCTGAGCCACACTCTCCCCCACCCCACCGCACTGCTCTCCTGCACACCGCAGCTCCGTGGCTCTCCTCCAGAAGCTGCTGGGAGGGCATTTGGGAGAGGCCTTAACCCCAAGGTGGTGTCTCTTAGCCATAAAGGACCAGGGATGCCCACTAGTGGGCACTAGAGGCAGGTACGTGGTGTAGGTCCGGCTCTGGAGGAGACGGTCAGCACTGGGGGCTGCATCTGATCTTGTTTAACTTTGCGGAGCCTGTGGCAGATGTTTTGTAACAAAGCATTTGACAGCCCTCGTGATATGGAAGTTCTGCTCCAACTCCTGCTCCTAAGCCCGTTCTGCTACGTTTTAACCACTCCCAGTTCTCTGGCCATTCCTTGGTGGACACCACTGTTCCCACAATATCCCTTCACCGAGGGAACCTAAACGTTGTGTTCCTTGGGCTCTGATGCTGCTGGCTCCTGAGGCCAGTGGCCTCCCTATTCATTTAATTTGTTAGTGGTTACTGTGCAAAGGCCTGTGCACCAGTTGCTGCCCCCACCCCGTCTCTACAGGAGGGAGCAGAGTGGATGCAGTCACCTGGCATCGGGGCGTGCTGACCGCCAGGCCAGCCGTGGCCTCACTTTCCTCTTACGACCAACGCAGCTGCAACCAGCACTGGCATGCAGGGAGAAGTGTACTGGGTGGCATTAGCTGGCCATCTCCTTTCTGCTCCCCCCAGGGTAGTGAAATAAAGGTCAGCTCACCCCAGCCCTGGGGCTCCTTGCTGACAGGGCAGTGGCCTAGTGCGGAGGGAGAAGCTGTGTCCTCAATTACTGAGACGTCAAAGAGCTACAGGGGTGGGGGGTCATAGGTGGAATGTGAGGCAGACAGTCACTGACCAAAACGCTTTCGGGGCTGGATTTGGAAGCCTTTCTGTTTCCCCATCCCTCCCTCCTGCCCAGTGTGGGAGCCGCAGAGGAGCTACAGAGCACCCTGAGTGCGGCGGGGTCCTTATTCCAAGCCCAGCGCTTCCCCTGCTCAGGGTGGGTCTTCCTGGGCAAAACTGCCGGGAACCTCGGCATCCTAGTCTACAAACTGGGGCTCCTGACCTCTGCCCTGCCTGCCTCACAGTGAGAGTCAAGTTTTCTAATGTGACAGTGCTCTGGAAACTGTATGATATGATGCAGGTGAGAGGAGCCACCATCACCTACGTGGGTTTTGCCACTAAAGGTACCAGCGTGAAAAACAAAACAGGAGATAATCATTGCCATCGTCATCAGGCACTGTTCCCACCACTTTATCTGCATTGACATGCCTGATCCTCCCAACAAATCTACGAGGTAGGTGCTAGTATGAACCCCCTTCACGGGTGAGGAATTTGAGGCTTACAATCACAGTAAGTGGTAGGGGCAGGACTGGAACCTGAGCCGTCTTCATGGTCTCTGATTTAACCCTAATACGGTACATTTCCTTTAACTGCCAGTGTGGGGAATGCGAAGAGCCCCTGCCACTACACGGCGAGGACAGCAGGAGAGGTGGCCTTACCCAGCCTTCTGGCCAGACCGAAGTCGATGAGCTTGATCCTGGTGCCCGTCTTGTTGACGCACATGATGTTCTCGGGCTTGAGGTCTAGGTGGACGATGCCCTGCTTGTGGATGTACTCCACCCCCTCCGAGATCTGCCTCATGTACTTGATGCACTCGCGCTCCGTCAGCTCGAAGTCCTCGTCAATGATGCGCTCAAACAGCTCGCCCCCTGACACGCTGCGGGAACAGGAGGCAGTCAGAGCAGAGGGTGGTCAGACCACAGCACCGTGCAGGCCAGGCTGGCAGGGAGTCTGGCCAGGGGTAGGCTGGGGGCAGGGGAACTGGCAGGAAAGCCTGGGGTATGGGGGTGATGGGCACTTTTTGCAGCTTCCTGAGTCCCGTCTTCCAACATGGGAGGAGGGTCAGAGCCTCCTGGGTTCCTGCTAAGCTGCTGGGGGATTCAGGGGAGCATCTAGGCCAGGCAGTTTCAGAGGTGGGTGTGAATGGAGAAATCCAAACACAATCTCCTTAGTGAAAAAGGTACTACTGGGCAGTCTCTCTCTCAAGTGACCACAGATGCATAAGGGAACATTCTTGGACCGCAGCTGTATCTTTTAGTCACAGGGAACCAAAGTTTAAAATACTCACAGTTACCATAAGCATTTATTTTACATAGCCAGGAACAGAAAAAGATCTTCAATAATAAGGAGGCTCAGCAAATTTTCTAAAATTGGTTAGTTATAACCCATCATACGTACAGTTGTGATAGATTTGCTTACTCCAGCTAGGCCTGTAGCATCAGTTCACTTCCTCCAGCCATAACTAACTTGTCTCCCCTGGGCCCCTCCTTGCCCAGGCTGGGAGTGTAATCCTGTCTGCCTGGATAGACTCTAGATCCTGGCCATGCCCAGTCAACTCTGTGCTTCTGGAGCCCACAGCTGCGCATCCCAGGCTAAGGACTGCTCCCGGGCCTCGGCCAGCCAGCATACTGCCCTTCAGTGCAAACGCATGGCCCCACTGCCTGAGTTGCACAGGTCCTTTCTTTTCCCTTGTCCCACCCTCTGAACCCACCTTCCTTGCTCACTGCTTAGCAAATTTAAAGCATCTCCTTGGTAACTTATGCAGTACCCAGACATTAGTAAGCTCACTTTTCTACAATGGCCTGTGGGTCTACCAGCTGAACAAGGTTGGGGAGGCTTTGTTCTGGGCCTGTCCTCTTACAAGGACTCCTAAAGAGAGTCATTGTGAAGAGGGGAAGGAGCTGAGTTTGAATCCTGTCTCTGCCTTTTGCAAGCTGTGTGACCTCGGGAAAGTTGGTTAACCTTTCTGAGCCCCTGTTTCCTTATCTGGCCTGACCTCATAGGGTTGTTAGGAATGTAGAATCCTTTGTAAAGTATCATGTCTAACACAGTAGGTGCTCAGTACATATTGTTATTTGACAACCTGTGGTGGACAAAATGGGTCTTGTCACTAACTCCTGCGGGAGAGAGATGGGGATGCACTATGGGACGCAGCACACCACAGCCTGTTGGCCACAGGACACAGGACACACACTTCTGGAGGGCTGAGCTGGGCAAGGCCGTCTGTGCCAGTGGCCGCTCTGGGTAGCTAGAACCGATGCTGTAGAACCAACTGGGGAATGTCCCTGCATGGCCAGCAGGTGGCGCCACTTGTCCTTGTGTCCTCCATTTCTATTGCTCTCCACCAAGCTAACTCTCACCTCTATTCCTAGGTTGCAGACAATTCTTAACAGCTCTGTGTTTCAATTTCCTCATCTGTGTGATGCAGATAAAAACAGCACCATCTCACAGGGTTGCTGCAAAGACTGGATGAGCTAATACAGGTAAAGTGCTTAGAAGAGTGGAACATAGTAAATGCTCAATGTTAATTATCAATAAAATTATCAATACAATGTTTTATTTTAAACAGTCACTTGGGGCTCCTGTTAAAAATACAGATTCCTAAGCTTTTCCTTTAGAGATTTTGATTTCAAAAATCTTGGGGGAGATCTGAGGATCCATATTTTTAATAAGTACCCCAGGTCATTCTTATGACCAGACTAGATCATAAGAATGAAAAATTCTGGTTTACTCAACTACCACTCCTGGGAGGCCAGCTGAAATTCACATGTTCTGAGAAATCACTCCCAATTTCCCCATGAAATGACCTTTCCCTCCCTGGGCACCCACAGCCTTGTCTCTGCACTTCTTGTATCAAGCCTGCCTTGTCTTAAAGTTGTTTGTAAGCATGTCTGTAAGATGTCTGGTGCTTCTCTAGACCCCTATTTACATCTGACAATATTTGGCACAGATAAGGTGCCCCAAAACGTTTGCTTTTAAATTTAAAATATTCTGAAAAGGAAAGCAGCCATTATATTCCAGTGCCCTTGGGAATGTCTAAGGCAACGAGTGGTAGAAATCTGAGCCTTGGAGATAATTACTGCTATGTTTTTAGAGGTAAAACTTATTCAATATAAATTCAAATAGGTTCAATTCTATTCACACATATTTAAAGTATTTTGAAATTGTTCCTATGGTCTATTTTCTAGAATGGAAGGTGTTAAACAAGTAGAATTAATGGTTCTGTAGGTTTCTTCTTTTTTTTTTTCATTTTTTTATTTCAGTATATTATGGGGGTACAGATGTTTAGGTTATGTATGTTGCCCTTCCCCCCCTCCCCCAAGTCCGAGTTTCAAGTATGTCCATCCTTCGGATGGTGCGCATTGCACTCTTCGTGTATGCATATACCCGTCCCCTCCTGCCCCCTTGTAGGTTTCCTTTCAAAATTCTCAAAGTGGAAAGTATTGGTTTGCTAGAAAGAAGCTGCCGTCCACAGAAATGGGATATCGAGGGCCAAGACTGGGCCAGAGGAAATGTGTGCTTAATAAATGAATAGTGAGCGAGTGAAATGAATAATGAATAGCTGAGTGAATACCTATCAGCAAGACTAGCTAATCCCAAGGGATCGAATTTATCCCCCAAACTCTAGACTTTAGCCAGCCTTCCCAAGCAGGCAGAAGGAATGGTGCTATCAGGGGATTTGATACCCAGACCTTCTCCTTGTCTGATGGCAGCCGGCTGGATGGTCTCTGACAAATTTGCTAAGGGTAGCACAAAGGTAAGATGAGCCACAGATGGCTCAGCCTAAACTTCATTTCCTCTTCAGTGCTCAGGGTCCCACCACCACTTGGAATGTCCCAGGCTCTTCCAAAAAGACAAGCCCAGGCTCCAGGCCAGGGGCCTGAAGGAAGCCCTGTCTCAGAGCTATATGATGGGGGCTTGCCAGTAATCAGAAGTCAGAAAGGCAGAAGATATTTATTCTTATTTCTCACTGTATCTGAGGCAGCTGAACTGAAGGCTGGGACCCTGGAATATGTTTTCATTTTTCTGCATCACCAGGCATCCTCCTTCTTTTAATCTCAGTTTCTCCATCGAACAAGGAGAATAGCAAAGAGTGAAAATCAACCTTTCCCCTGTCAGTGGTCAAGTCTTAGAATGTTTAAGCTGGGAGGGTTGAGTTCCTATCCGGGGCAAGCTTCTTCCCCCGAGTGCAGGCACACCTCTGGCATCCGTGCACGGAGACCTGCTGCTGTCCACGGGGGAGGCGTGGGGTGGAGGGATGAAAGCCAGACCAGCTGAAGCCTGAAGTTTTCTCCCTTTTTCCATCCAGCTTGCCAACTCCCCGTTCCAAGCTAAGTATGGTATTCTGCCCACTGGAGCTGCTGCCCAGCCTTCCCCAGTCCCTGCCGCCTCCTGCCCCCTCCCGGCCCCCCTCACCAACTTGCTCAAGGTCTAACTTCTAAAGATAAGACATTTCTCCACGTGTCCTCACATGCCCACACTGCCTGGACGAAGCAACCTCTTCTGGAATAAATGTGAAAAGATGCAGCCCGCAGGGCTATTGTGAGTGTGTAATGAATGAGGCCACGGCATGGGCTACATATTTCCTGAAAGTGGGGAGGAAAGTTGGAATTTGGGGGTGAAAATAGATTGAAAGATACAAATGCAGATTGTCTCTGAGTCCTTTTTGGTTCTACAGAACTGAAGAATTCTATAGTCAAAAGGGGAGTCTTGAGATCAATTATTCTAATCCAAATATCTCTTCTCACTGGTAGGATTTAACAATTACAAAATCGCAACTCAATAGTAGCAGAAACTGAAGCCAGGCTTCCCAGATACTAAGAAGGATTTGTTCCACAGCACCTAGTTGGATGTTAAATGCTCAAAAGTGCTTTTAAGTAGAAAAAAGACCAGGCTACAGACAAAGTCAATGCATCACACGGGTAACGACAGCTCCCATGACGGAGGACTGTGCCTCACACACGTTATTCCACTTAATCATCACAGCGCTCATGAGGCGGTTTTAATATCCTCTTTTATGGATGATGAAACTAAGGATTTCCACAACTGACAAACTTAGTCAAGTCAAACAACAACAAAGAGGCAGAGCTGGGATTGGAAGTAAGGTTTACCTGACTCAAGTCTGCGCTCTCAACCACTGCTGCCTTTTCCAAAGAACACGTACTGAAAGGAAACACCTGTTTGCCAAAATGCTAATGCAATGAGGGGAGAGAAAAGACTGATCTCCCATTCACAGTTAAAGCTTGGGGATGTCTTCTTGGCCTCAGCTTTCGGGGGGAAGAATGCCAAGATGCTGACAGAGCCTTCTCCAAAGGACCCAGGTCCCCAAAGTTCAGTCTGAGCAATTCAAGGATGCTCAAGGTAATTTCGCAATATCTCTAAAAATTTCAAAGGTACAGACCCTTTTAATCTAGCACTCCCTCACTTCTGGAAATTTATCACATAGACATACACAGGCATGAGTGAAAAGATGTATGCACGAGGTTACAAATAATGCTTGTTTGTAAAAGCAAGACTAGAAACTGCCCGTCCTCTTATGAAAGGCAGACTGCTTAATCAATTGTGACATAGCCATGTGACAAAGTCCCATGGAGCTGTGAGAATGAGCTGTGAGAATGAGGTGTCATTCTCACTAGGTGTTGATATGCGACCATCTCCCACATCAATTTGTTGAAAAAAGCAAAGTATAACATAGTGAGGATAATAAATTGCCTGTTGTGTTAAAAGGTGGGAAAATAAGAATATATTAATATTTATCATATATGCTTATATTTTCACATACATGCTTATATTTGGGAGGATACAGACAAAACCAATAAAACTATTTACCTGTGGTGTTGGTGGTGGGGGGTCGGTACAGGGTAGCCAGGGACTTTTCACTGTGTATTTCCTTACATTTTTTTGAGGTGATTGTATCATACAAAACATTCAAATAAAAAAGAAAACTCTTATAATACACAGATGCAGTGGAGGATGTCTGGCTCACTGATGTCAGTATGTGTGCCTGCATATGTGTACATGTGTGTGTTTGTGTGTGTGTCTGCACGTGTGGGGTGGGTGGAGGATTGGGATGTAGATGAAACAAAGGATCCTGGGAAAGCCCTGGCTGGAGGTCATCTGATCCATCCCCCAGCCTTGGTACAACCCAGCAGAGAAAGAGCTACTCTCTGCTGAGTGACAAGTCAAAACAGCTCAAACGAGGGCAGAATGGGGCCTGCAGAGGCACAGGAGGACCCAGAGCAAGGGTCCCGCTCCCGGATTCCAGCCCCCAGCCCTGGGCCCTCTGTCTTCCACAGGGAAGTCAGGAAGCCACCCTGTCCCTGTCCCGCCTCTGGACTCTAAACCACTACAGGCGAGAATACTCCTGAGTGAAACCAAGGAGCCTAGGGGCAGCTTAGGCCCTTTCACAGGTAGCTGAGGCTACAGGGGTCCTCAGGGGTCTGCCAGCTTGTTACGGAAGTGGGCACAGGGCTGCCGGCTGGGGCTCAGTGGGTTATTGCCGGCCCTTCCGGTTCTGACTGGCCAGTCCTGGCCATAGGCTGGTGAGTGTCGTGCATATCACACCCTTGTCTGCAGTGATTTCCATCTCGGGGCAGAGGTGGCTGGGATGGGACAGTAGGGAGACACATTCGGGGGCTCCCCCAGCCCACAGTGCCTGGGTGCTTGTGGCGGGGCACTCACATCTCCAGGACCATGACGATGTTGGCCTTTTCCTCGAAGGCGTCCACACACTGCACCAGCTTGGGGTGGTGGAGGCAGTTCATGATGCTAATCTCCTGCCGGATGTTCTCCTTCTCTTTTGCCGAATATGCCTTGAAGAATTTCCCTGCCCAGATTTTTCTAGTTTTCTTTTCTACAAGTCGAAAGACCTGTCCAAATTTCCCACTGCAAATGAAAGAGGGAGGAGAGAAAAGCCAAATTTAGCTGAACTTTCTACTAAATTGGGTTGGCACATTACGGCCCGTGGGACAATTCTGGCCCACCTCTTTATAAGTAAGTTTTTACTGGAACAAAGCCACACCTGTCTGGTTCTCTATTGTCCATGGCCGCTTTTGTGCCGCAGTCGCAGAGACGAGCAGTTGTGACACAAGCGTATGGCCCACAAAGCCTAAAATACCGATTTCTGAAGCTTTATGGGAAAAGTTTGCTGACCCTTGCCCTAGATGAATGAAGCACATTTCTTTTTTCAAATTTTGTTTTCTACACACACTCAGTTGGTACTACTGAAGCACATTTCTCATGGTGACAGCCCTACTCTCAATCTGGGCTGACGGATGGACGTCTTTCCCCTCCCTGCAGAGGGACCATGGAGTTGGGTGGAGGCAGCCCTTCCCAACCCAGAGAATTGCTGAGTGGCTGCCTTCCTCCCCCCACCACGTCCTAGCGCTGATCTGCCGGTGACGGCCCAGGCAGGATCCTATTTCCCACTGCTGGGACGGCGGAGCACGGGGTTCCTCGGTGACGGTGCTGACTCCTTGCAGAGCTGTTATGAGGTCTGCATCTCTCCTTTGTTTCCCAGAAACCACTGCAAACGTAAGCCGAGTTCCTTTTCCTTCCCCCTCTTGTACTCCTCCAGGGATGGAGAGTTAGGAGGAGACGGGCAGCTTGGCTGTGACGAGGGCTGGGGGTTGGGGTCTGAGCCCACCGGCATCTTCCATGCCCTGGGGCATGGCCCAAGTCCATAAAGGGAGCTGCGATGACCGCTGTGCATTTTAAAGGAGCACTGAAGCTGGGCTGGCACTGCCGAACAGCGTGCGCCGATCAGGCTCACCTGACCTCGGTGGACCAAATGGAAGGGACCCAAAGATAATCCAATCCAGGTCTAGTCCTCTCCTTTCAGTCCTGTGCTGTGAGTGGAGGCACAGAAAAGGCAGGACTTGCCCATGGCTTTCGCAGAGCTGGGCCAGGGCAGACCCGCACGAGCAGCTCCACGGAGGGCCGTGGGTGCGCGACGCTCAGTGAGCAGTCGCTCCTGATTCCGCACGACTCTCAGGCAGGAGGCAGAGCTCAGAAAAGACAGGAGGTCGGGGCACTGGATTTAACTTAGGACTTGTGCCACCCTCAGCCTGGGGGCCCAAAGGCAGCTTCCCATTCCACTTACGATCCTAGTCGCTCTTCGATGTCATAGAAGTCAGATACTTTTTGTTCCGTGTTGACTGTCACCGTCCGGTAATCGACCTCGGGCTCCTTCTCGTCTGCGGGGCATGGGGGGGGTCAGTGTGAGCCTCATCGCCCCTGCTCAGCCCCCGCTACCCTGCAAGCCTGACCTGAGGACAGGGGGCCAGCACTCACCGTCATCTGACACTTCCACTTCATCCTTTGGCTCTGGGGGAGACAAGGAAGGACAGAGAGGGCACAGGTGATTAGTACTGAGGGCCCACCAAGAGCAGGACATGCTGGGGGCCATGCCAGGCCTCAGCCTTCACAGGCACAGGACCACCAGGCCCAGAGCGCTGGGCATCCCCCAACGGGGCCAGGTGCAGACCGGCAGGTACCGCCTCTCCCCACTCAGCCCCTCCTCCACCAGGTCTCACCTGCGCCCCTTCCTCTCTAACCTCATGGTCCCCAGATATACCCTTCTCCGCATCCCCTCCAGTCCCTCTTGACTTTCAGAACCCGCACACAACCGTGACAGTCCCTTTCTGCCCTGGCTTAAAAGTCAGCACCTTAGAAGTGCTTCTGGTGTCAAATCCATTTATCCATTTGTTGAACATGCTTCATGGAATTCCAGCCGTGTACCGAGTACCTTGCTAGTTATTGTGGGCATTCAAGACAAAATACACAGAAGGCATGGTCTCTCCTTTCTTGAAGCTTATAACTCAGTCGGAGAGGCAAAAACATGTACTTGAAATATGGGTTACGAAGTGTTACATCATCAAGCAGTATCGCCATGGTACAAACTGAATATGCAACTGAGGAGGGTGGCACAGAAGGGAGCAATCATAAAATCAGAGCAATTATTCTCGGAAGAAATAGCCCTTGGGTTGTACCTTAAAGGAAATCACGGAATACAGTGAGGGTTGAGTGACGTGGCAGAGGTGAAACCAACGGGTGCTCATGGTGGGCGAGGAGGGACATGGCAGCCACGCTAGCTGTTCACGTGGATGTGTCAGGAGTAGGGGGGACACGGGGACAGGTGGGGGGCCCAGCAGGACACATCTGCTTCAAAGCTCCAGGCTTCCCTTTGCCTTGGTATAGGTTTGTCTCTCCACAGAAAGGCTGCTCTGGCTGCTTGACCTTGGCTAAGTGCCTTTCCCTTTCTGGGCCTCAGTTTCCCTATCCGTAAGAGGCAGGAGATGGTTTCTGGAGTCCTGACTACTCTAGATGCAACGCTTAGTAGTCTGCTTTGCACTCCTCAGCCACAGTCTGGGCTGCGCTCTGGCTGGCAGCTGGACGGGAGGGTTCTGAGAAAACTGAACAAGGATGTGAGGGACATCATGGAGGAAAAGGATTTTCAAAGTGCGAGTGTGTGTGTGAGAGTGTGAGTGTGGGACAGTGTGTGAGTGTGAGTGCATGAGGTATGAGTGTGAGCGTGGGAGTGTGTGGGACAGTGTGTATGTGCGAGTGTGAGAGTGTGAGTGTGGGAGTGAGTGTGTAGGATAGTGAGTGTGTGAGGTACGAGTGTGAGTGTAGGAGTGTGTGGGATAGTGAGTGTGACAGAGTGTGAGTGTGAGGGTGTGTGAGTGTGAGTGTGTGAGGTATGCGTGTGAGTTTGGGAGTGTGTGGGACAGTGTGTATGTGTGAGTGTGAGAGTGGGAGTGTGGGAGTGTGAGGGATAGTGAGTGTGTGAGTGTGAGTGTGGGAGTGTGTGGGATAGTGAGTGTGAGAGAGTGTGAGTGTGAGGGTGTGTGAGTGAGTATGGGGGAGTGTGGGTGTGAGTGTGGGACAGCGAGACAGCGTGCGAGCGAGTGTGAGTGGGTAGGAACGAGTGCATCAGACTTGGGGCGAGGGCATGACTCGCCGACGGCCCGGCGAACCAGCCGAGGGAGGGAGGGGAGCGCGTGGACGGCTGTCCCCCGAGAGGCCAGAGGGGACAGGGCCGAGGCTGGTCAGGCCCTGCCCGGAGGCGGGGCTGAGTGTGACCGAGCTCTGCGCGCTTTGCGAGTTCAGCGCCTGTGCCGGGGGTGAGCCGGAGAAGCTGCAGGCGGACTGCGGGCGGTGGGCCTCTCTAGCAGGCTGGGGGCAGAACAAATGGCTGGAACCTCCGTCTGCGGAGAAGTAACATGGTTCCACGCAGGACAAGAACCTCTTACTGGAAAAGAGTTTTGAGAGAGTTTATAAGGAGCAGAAGAAGCTGTGATTTGTTTAGAGTTCTTAAAATGCTTCTGACAAAGTTTAGTTTCAAAAAGCTAAACATGAGCGGGACTGGGAAGACTATTTTATGGCAGAGAGCAAATCGCCATGGAAAAATACAAAAGGGTGAGACAGACGGGGGCTCTCAGAGAGAGTGCAGCTGATGAGGCTGTGGGTTTCACAGCTACTGCCTAACTCATGGATTTTTCTACACTCGCACATGCGGGAGTTGAGCGTGTCACTGTGAAGGCGACCTGGGAGCAATGCACCGGAAGCCAGTAATGGAGTCAGTGCTCAGGCAGGATGTAATCATTTTGCCTTTTAGGGCGGTGAGCACTGAGGCATGTAGCCAAAACCCAGGAAGGGGAGCACAGGCCCCCGACCTGCTGCCCTGGCCCACAGGGTGCTGTCAGGAGGAAACGTGCACTGGTTACCGGCTGGTGTCATCACTCAGTGGCCCCTGATACAGTCTGGGGCACCTGTCCTGGAACTCCGGCTGCTGGCGGCCAGGAAGCCACGGTGGAGCTGCGGCCGGTCTGGGGCGCCGCTGGAGGGAAGGGCTGCTGCGTTACAATGACCAGGAAAGGCCAGGCCTCTCTGGTTGTGAAAGAAGTCTAAAGTGGACATCAATTGAAAGGAAATCACACAGTCGCCAAGGGTGAGATTAGGGTGGCAGACTTTTCATCCTCTCGTGAATGCCGTGCCTTGAGGGGACCGTTTAGTGTTCTGCCTCACATGGAGCTCACGTAGGTTCAACAGATGCTTAGGTTAGTTCAATGACGACATTTTAAATGGGGTTTTAAAAGAAGCAAGAGAGTCAAGTCCGTCAGTAATGAACACCTGGTGGCTGCCGGTCACTGGACTAGGGCTTCGAGACAAAATAACACCGTCGCGGATGCCCCAGCTAGACCTGGGGTGCCTCTGTTGGAGACAGGGGTTCCCACTTGCTGGGGCTTCCTCTGTTTCTTGTCCCCAGGCCACCTTTCCCCCGTGCTGCGTGGGGACTGGAGTGTCCTACGCGGTGGGGTGAGAGAAAAGAGGAGGCAGGCTTTCTTGGCCTGGGGTCAGGAGGAACAATGTGTTCTCTGCCAGTGAAAGCGCAGCACGTTGCTGGAGTCAGGAGGCCTGTGCCTGGAACCAGGGGGCTTCCCCCGTGAGCCTTGAACAGGCACCAGTTCCAGACCTGGGCCTCCCCGCCGTGCTGACTCCAGGCAGACAGCTCAGAGCTAGCCCACGCCTGCCCCTCGCCTCCGCCTCTCCCCCTGGCGGTCAGAGTCAGGCTCTGCCCTCCTCTCCTGCTGACGCTCTGATTGGGGACGAGATCACCCTCAGGGAGTTCCAGCCCCCTCCTCGTGGTGCACTGTCGCATGGCAACCTCTCCTCTGCGGGAACTGTGACCGAGACTCCCAGGGGTGCCGTCCCCTTCTTCCCCTTCTCGCTCGGCCTCAATTCTGTTTGAGGGGCAACATGACCACAAGGGAAGGGCCGACAGGGAAGCGGAGGAAAGGCCACAGTTCAGTTCACCCATAAAGGGCTGCAGTAATGAGAAAGGTGACCGTTTGGTTTCCATCTTCCTGCCAAGGAAGGAGCTAAAAGTGCAGTAGAAGGGACTTCAACTAAACATTTAAGAAGTCTATTCAGAATGAGCTATGAGCTCCGAGAGCTTAGTGGAAGACGGTTCAGAAGATGGTTCTGAGATATTTCTGCAAACAGATGAGAGTCCCGTTATCCGGAGTGGTATTTGGGAGAGAACCAGCTGAGTGCTCCGGACCCTGGTGCAGCACGAGTCCAGTCTGTCTGACAGAGAAATGACCCTTCCCTTGGCCGAGGACTGTCGCATGCTCAGCGGGCACTAGAGGGCACCCGAGCCCCAGAGACGGCCTCTGCGAGGCAGGCGAGCTGGAGCCTGGGACCTGAGCAGGCTTTGCCTCTCTAACTGCCCCCGGGCTGCAAGGAGGCCCCAGTTCTGCAAGAAGCCTCAGTCACGGCTGATTTACTAACAACAATAGAGACAAAACCAAATTAGGGTCAGGAGCAAGGCTGGTTTCAGAGTGAGAGCAGGATTAGAGTGGGAGCAGAGCTTAACACTGGCTGGGCTGGGGAGAGCGGGGTGTCAAAGTGGTGGCTGTTTGCTGGGGCTTGGGGAGATTGGGAGGGGCCCTAGTGTTTCTTAGGGGTGGCTCTGGCACAGAGAAGCCACTGGAGCCGCACAGGGAACCCTATGCCTTGTCCTCTACTGTAGCCCCATGCCTATGGCAGCGCCTGCACACAGGAGGGGCAGGACACACGGGGTGGATGAATGTGGGGCAAGAGCTGGGGCATGGGCAGGGGTGGAATTGAGAGACCAGGATGAAACAGAGACTAAAGCTGCCAAGGCAAGAGGCAGGAGTGGCAGGGGCGGCGGCGGTCAGAGCCAATGCTAGCTGGGCCGTGTGGAGCGAGGGTCACTGGCACTGCCTTTGTGATATGACCCCATCCTCCATGGCTCCACAGAACTGACCTACCATGACCTCCACTCAATCGCACCTCTCTGCCAACACACACACACACACACACACACACACACACACACACACACACACACCACTCCTCTGAGAGCCGTTTAACTCACAAGCATCTGAGCAGTCCCAGAGGACTTTTGCTTGGAACCTCCCCCGCCCACGTCCTCTGCCCTGAAGCCTGACTTCTGCCAACTGTTCTGCCCTCCTCCTCTTCCCCTTGGATGATCCAGCTGGGCCTGGGGTGGGGAGCAGCTTCCTGTCTGGACGCCCTGGGTGGCCTGGACCCCACCTCTGGATTTCAGGCGATTTCAGCATTACCCTTTGTCCTCTTCCAGCTGGGAGGAGTAGCGACAGGGAGGGGGGCTGAGGACCACAGAAGGGGTTCTGCTGGCTGGCCGCAGGGAACAAGGGAGAGGCCACCTGCCCAAGCCCAGCGGTCCCAGCTCCCCCTCCTGTGGACTCTCCAGCGCTGGGAGTGTCCTGGACTCCTGGGAGCCACAACTCCAGTGCCTGTGGCCTCTGGTCCTGCTGCCTGGGTTAATCAGGGATTCTACAGTTTCTCCTGGTATACATCACAGCACGGACATGGACCATTGCCTTTCCAGCCAATGGACATCTTCTCACTGCAATTTTATCCCTTTTTCCTCTCACTTTTCCAAGTAATACCCTAAGAATATAGTCTGGAGCTTGGTCGCCCCTGCAGGCACCCCCACTCTGTCCCACCTGCTCCCCACTCTACTCACTTTAGAGGGATGTTGTGTGTGGGGGAGGGCAGCGGATGGTGGTTTTGTTACTCAGCTTCCCCCAACAGACATCTGTGAGTGGCTAGCGGGTGGGAGCCCCGCGGACACTGCCAACGGCCCAGGCCTTGGGGGCTCGTGTGGTGGCTCTCAGGGAGACCCGCCGCATGTGTGTGTACAGGCCCAGGCGGGGAAACACCGCCCAGCACACAGCCTCGCATCAAATTGTAAAGTTGGCATGTCTTCTGTCGGTATCCTTCTTTCTTTCTGGAGCCCTTGTTTAATTGAAAGTAAAGTTTTAATACCTGTTTTATACCTAATTTTCAAAACTAAAGAGGGTCATCACATCAGAACAACGGCTTCCATGCTCAGTTACGTGGCTACTTCAGGCCCGGCTCCCGCTCCACCTCCTCTGATCTTCAGTCTCCCACGGTCCGCCTCGCACCTTCGGCTCTCCTCTCTCCAAGAGCGCTTCTCCCTTGGTGTCCCTCCACCTTGTTCCCCGCCCCATCCATTTCCTCTATCTGAAATTCACATGCTCTTCACAGGAAACTTCCTGAAATAATACTCCATACTACTGGCCTCTCTTTCTTCCATTTATTCCTTAACCAGGACAACCATTTTTCCACCCTGTGGAAACTCTACAGATTTCGACCTCAAAGGTTACTACTCACTAAGGGCCTATACCCAAAGATCCTTCGAGTCCTCGTCTCTTTCATCTTTGTTTAGCACGTGGCGTGGGTCACTAAGCCCTCTTTGCAATTTGCTCCCTCCCCTGTTTCTAGGAGACTCCAGCCTCCTCCTGGTTCTCTTCCCTCTCGGTCCTTTCTTATGGTCCCACGGCCCCTTGACGTTCTCTGCCACCCTCTCTGTAACTTCATCAATGCCCATGGCTTCAATTATCAATTAAATGGTGAAGACTCCCAAATTTGTAGCATAGATTAAAGCTTTCTCCTGAGCTCTAGACTTAACAGTCTGCGGACGCCTCCCCTTGGAAGTCCCTCAGACACCTCAACTTGACAGGTCCGAAGCCAGAGATCCCATCCCCCGCCAGACTCCCTGTTGACCAACCTCCAAGTCACTCAAGTTGGGAACCCAGCCTGACCTCCTTCCTCTATCTAACCAAAGGAGCACAGGCTCCAGGCCAGACTTCAAGCATCGACTTGCCATTTACAAGCTCCGTGACCTTGGGCAAGTAGCTTCACTCCCCTAAATCTCATTCCCCTCATCTGTACAATGGGGTAATAACAGTATCTACTGCATTGGGTTACTAGGACTGAATGAAATGTTGCATGTAAAGTGATTACCATATTGCTAGCAAAGAGCAAATGCATAATATATGTTAGCCACAATGAATCATCATAACAAACCTCTAAATAACTCTTGAAATTGTGTTCAGTTACCCTAGCCAGGAACTGGAAATCATCTTAGAGTCTTCTAATTTTCTCCTTCAACTCTCTAAGGAAAAAGTCATCAGGAATGGTCAATTCTACCTCTCGAGGCCTTAGTTCATGCCCTAACCACCCCTGTCCTGGACGAACATCACAGAGGCCCATCTGGAACCCGGCTGACTCCACTCCCACCCCTCTATCCTGTGTGCATTCCAGTGCTTCTCAAATGTTCACGTGCACACGAGTCCCCTAAGGCATAGGTCATGTTAAAGCGAGGTCCGGGAGGCCCTGGGAGCTGTGGGGGCTGAGAGGCTGCATTTCCAACAAGTTCCCAGGATGCCAAGGCTGCTGGTCCACAGCCCCACTCTGAATAGCAAAGCTCTGCTCTCTAGTTCTCTAAGAACCAGATCTAATCCTCTCAATCCTCTGCCTGAGATTCTTTGATGAACTTTACAATTTTACCTAAATTTCCCTTTTAGTCTTACTTTCTCTTGTTCTGTCTCACACAACATACGCCCTGGCTACACACAAGCTTCTCAAAATGCAGCACATGTCCATCACCTTGTCCCTTTGCTCAGGCTGCTTCCTCTGCGTGGATGCCTTTCCTTATCTTCCCTGCCCCTTAGAATCCTATCCCTTTTTCCAAGACTCAGTTTAAATGTCACCTCCTCTAGGAATGCTTCCTCAGTCTCCATGGCAAAATTCTCCATGCTTTCTGCTGTGTCCTCTCAGCTCTTTGTTTATGCCACTTTAATAGGGTGCATCCCATTTCATTATAGTTAGCCGAACACACATCTGTTCCCTTAGATTTTAAGCTCATTGCCTTATCTGTCTTTGTGTCCCAAGTGTCTGACACTGAGTAGACACTCAAATATGAATGCAAGAGGAGGGAGGGGATAGAAGGTGGACATAGGAACCTGAGGTCTGCCTCAGCTCCTGATTAATACACACCACCCCCTAGTGGCAGCATGCTAAAATTGCTGGTTCATTGTTTTTTTTTTTTGAAATGTCATGTGTACTTCTTTGAAAGCGTGAACCAGTATTACAACCTTGGAAATCAAGACCCCAAGACCCCAAAGGGCCCTGTCAGTCAACACTGATGTTTTGTCAGTTCCTCTGTACCCCTCTCAGTACATACATACCCAGCTCAGTCATGCGCATTTATTTCAAGTGAAATAGTAACGAAGTGAAGGCAACCTACCCTCAGATTTCTCTCCCACCACTGTGAGTTCAGACTCCTGGCTTGGCTCACTGGTTCCATACACGTTGATTGCACGCACACGGAATTTATACTCATGGTCAGGCAGCAGGTCCTGCACGTTGAAAGAGGTGCTGCGGCATGTGGCTAGCTCCTTCCACGTCTTGTCGGCAGAGTCCCAGATCTCGATGCTGTAGGATTGCACGGCGCTGCCCCCATCATACGAGGAGCCGTACCAGGACAGGGTCAGTGAGGAGCTCCGAATATCAGAGGCACAAGGTGTGCCAGCCGGGGGGTCTGGCTTATCTGGGGATAGAGAAGCACATCATTACCCCAACTCTCCAGAACTGTAAGGAAAGAACATTTTTGAGTTAGCTCTCTTGGGAGGGAGAAGCAGCCGAGGGAGCCCAAGCCAAGGTCCTTGGTCCTGGCTCTCTTTCCTCATCCACACATCACAGTTGGAGCTCTGCACAAACCCACCTGTACAGAAACCCCATGCATAACTATTTGCTTGGAGAAACCTTTTTGGGGGCTGGTTTTCCAGTCTACAAGTCATGATTTTCTGTCCTTTTCCCACATCATAAACATATTTCTCAGAGTAAACAGATCTGGGAAGCAACCCAGAAGGTGTGGACTGTTTTCTATCAAAAATATGTTTTGAGAGTTCAGTGTGTGTGTGTGTGTATGTGTGTGTCTGTGTGTCCTTCAGGCCCCAGGCCAATGACGTGTGACATGATTAGGGGTCTGTGTCCACTTTCTTTGGGACTTGGGAAAGGTCTATCCACCAAAGGCAGCATAGCACAGTGATTGGGCTCCAAAGCGAGATAGACTCAGGTTTGAACACAGATCTGTCCCCATTCAGCAGCTGCTAATCACTCTGTGCCTCAGTCTCCTCATCTGTAAAATATGGGTAATAATAGCAATTGGATTACAAGGTTGTTGTGAGAAATTCTTAGAAAGTGGCTGGCTTGACTAGTCATTATGTCATCATTATTGTAGGAGTTTCTGTTTAACTTTATAATATATAAAAAAATTACTCCTACTCTACCTTTTTTATTCTCCTATGAGAATAGGACTGGTATAAATTGAGATGAAGAATTTCACAATGAATCTTAACATCAGCTGATTAAAAAAAATAATTTCACAAGCAAACTACAATAGCCAATCACAGCCATCCCTGACTAAGGGACGGAGACTGAGCTAAAGACAGAAATAGGTGACCTTTTTCGCTGGCTGCCTTCCCACTCAGATGGCCTGAGCTTGGAACCAGTCGTGCTGCCAACTTTAAGTCAGATCATGATAGCCCATTCTTTAATGAGGTTCTTGAATTTTGCTGATTTTTTAATTGCTTATCTGAACGAAACTCTTCTATTTTTTAGATTTAGTTTCTGCAGATGGTTGGTTAGTTACACGTATCTGTGTTTAGTAGCCTTTCATTTCCCCCAGTGCAGCTTAAGTTCATGGCGCTGCACAAACTTGCAATTAAAACCATGCTTTTGCCGGGCACAGTGGCTCACGCCTGTAATCCTAGCACTCTGGGAGGCCGAGGAGGGAGGATAGTTTGAACTGAGGAGTTTGAGACCAGCCTGAGCAAGAGCAAGACCCCATCTCTACAAAAAATTAGCTGGGCATGGTGGCGTGTGCCTGTAGTCCCAGCTATTTGGGAGGCTGAGGCAGGAGGATCGCTTGAGCCCAGGAATTTGAAGTTGCTGTGAGCTATGATGACACTGCTGCATTCTAGCCAGGGTGACAGAGTGAGACTCTGTCTCAAAAAACAAAACAAAATGAAAAAAAACTATGCTTTTAAGCTATGTGAACTCCAGTCAGTGAATTTGAAACCAGTTTGTTTGCCTGTCTTTCTCATTCGGAAAATGGGGCTAATATGTACCTACCTCTTAGGGTGTTTGCAAGCATCAAGTAAGCAAACGCTGACAGGTCAAGTACTTGACTCCTACTATCCCACCCTCACCAAGGCAGGAAGGCCAAAGAGAATTCCTGCAAATGACCCTGTGTATCTGGGGAAGAAAAAAGTCTGCATGTGCGCATACATGTACATATCCATGTGCATATCCATTTTCATACACATATGCATATCCATGCATGTTCATTCTCACCGCCTCCCCCCCGACACATCCCGCCCTGCTGCGTCCACATTCCAGCCCAGAACACGCCACCCAGAAACGGTCTGTCCCCAACAACCCAGGCCTAGACCTCGCCGCAGGATCGACGCTGGGATTGTGACAGAGCCGCTTCCCAGCGTCAGCAGTCGCGCCGAGGCCTCCTGTGGTGGAACCACTTTCACTGTTGTTTAATATGTTCTCTTAGAAAAACTGTTTGTTCTGAAAGATATATTGGTCTTTTTAGAAACATTTCTGGTGTTGGCTAAGATGTTTATTGCTGTAAACTCTCTTAGAGACAAGTGGTTCAAGTCCTCTCCAGACCCAGCTAAGGAAGGAAAAAAGCCTAAAGAGGATGCAGGGGCAGACTCACTGCTCCCTGCGAGAAGCTGCTTGGAAACATGTGGCGGGACGTGTTCGGAGTCACGTGGGCTCAAATAGCGAATGCAGATGCGTTCTGCCGGCCGGCCTTGTCCCCTCGGCTGTGGTCGAGAACACCGAGAAATGGGTATTGCGGCAGAGGTACCATTTGTACCCTACCCTGTCACACCTGTCTCCTGGCTGAAAAGGAGAACTTCTATATGACATGTGTCAGTGATATCTCAGTCCTGTAGCACAAGACAAGCTGCAAAATTTGCGGAGGGGGACTTTAATTTTAAGTGACACTTTCGAGGAATCCGATACCAAATTTAGGATTTCAGAAAACACCCAAGTCTGAAGTCTCGTGAGGTTGGAAGTCCTTCCCCGATACCTGCCCTTAGAGCCACGGGCTGCACCCGATGCTTTCTGTTCTTTCCCACCTACAGAGCCCCACATGGAGGCTGAACTAGCGAGCGGTGACACCCTCAAAATGCAGCACCGCCATGGGGCTCTCTTCCAGACCAAAGACAGACACACTCAGACTGCGAGGGAACCCTGGGCAATGTCTGGCAAACAGAGGCTGGCTCTGAGTCTAGGGCCCAGAGCTCCACACTTCCTCTGAATTCTCCCAGGGCTCCCTGGAGGCTTTTGAGTAACAGAATAGGAAGCTTGGCTGAGTCTAAAAGAAGGGTCCCTGATGGAGCCAGCTCCAGGATTTTCTGCTCAGCAAATGTTCTCCTTCCTGGGAACACAGAGGATCTCATCCTACAGCTTACCACCAGAGTCGCCTCCCTCTTGGTGTCTGTGCTTGCATGTCTGAAGATGACCGTGGCTGCATCCAGCCCTGCCTGGACGTCCCTTCACTGGGACTTCAGCAGCTGCTGGGGGGGCCCAAAGTGGTCAACTGCCTGGATCATCCTCGCCCCCAGGAAATGGGCCCTCGGTGGCTAAGGCACTCTGCTTACCAAGGAAACTCAGCTAGTCCGTGGCAGAGCCAAAATGAGATTCTGAAAGTCTCTGGACCCCCCACTGCAGGGCCTGGTACCTTCCAATCTCTCAGGCCAAATGAGACCAAGGGCTCATCTTGCTTAAGCCTGAGCTGAGCACTACGAAGGGAAATCTCCTACCCTTAAAAATCACGAGAGTTCCAAATGCAGATAGCATTTGAAGATTATTGGGCATCTGGGGTTCTCTCTACTTTGTTTTTCCCCATAATATGCTGTAATAATAATAAAAAAAAGATATGCAGAGAGACCTGTTTTTCCTATGCTGGGTGAGTGACACTCAGGAATCCATCTGAGTCGTGCTGCTGTCTCCCGCTGTGCTCCAGAGCAGCCCTCCCTCCCTCAGGCCACAGACTGGGGGCACCGGCACAGGAAGAGGCTAGGAGCATTGCAAATTCCTGTGCTGCCTTTTAAAATATAATAATAATGTCTCTAAAATAGCTAAACATCATTCATTTAAATTAACTGGGGGAAAGGTTGGTTTTATTATCATTTTAAAAACAGGAGTCACAGACTATCTGAAAAGAAAGTAGTCCTTTAAAGATTATACAATAAGATGCTGGTGCGGTAGCTGACTCCTATAATCCCAGCACTCTGGGAGGCCGAGGTGGGAGGATTGCTTGAGCTCAGGAGTTCTAGACCAGCCTGAGCAAGAGTGAGACCCCATGCTACCAAAAATAGAAAAAACTAGCTCGGTGTGGTTGTGCACACCTGTAGTCACAGCTGTTTGGGAGGCTGAGGCAAGAGGATTGCTTGAGCCCAGGAGTTTGAGGATGTGATAAGCTATGATGATGCCACTGTACTCTAGACTGGGTGACAGAGAGACTCTGTCTCAAGAAAAAAAGATAAGAGAATTTTACTGCTAACAAGCAGAAGTTGTGTTACACTGCCCTTATTTAGCTGGTCTGTAAATGGATGCTTCTTAAGTGTGTGAAAACTGTCCAGTGTAGGCCAAATGATTCCTGTTTTATCTCATTTATGTTTTACATCTACTTAATAAGCCCTGATCAGATAATACACAGATGTCCCTGGAGATGCACAGGTAAATCTGAGCTTAATCCAGGTTTACCTTGGACTAATGCTACATTCACGGGCTCTGAATGAATGTGGCTTTGCTTAGCCATCAATGTGGTCCTCATTTTATTGAGCAATTCTATTCTTAGCCCTGCGAGGGGGAAGCAGACAGAAAGCCCCGTCCTCCTCCATTCCATTCCCCTCCCAGGACGGCATTTAACATGCTGCTCCTGCCAGCTGGCGGGCAGCCACACCAATGGCCCTGTCAGCACTGGCCGTGGAGAATAAGAAACTAAACCATAAAAGGCCAGAACTGCAGCCCGTGCAGTGGTGACGGGGGCGGGGAGTGTGTGGCACCGTGCAGGAGCTGGCCACGGTGGGGGCAGGGGGCACTGGTTACAGGAAAGCAGTGCAAAGGAGCTGACCCCACAGTTACAGGCAGGGGCAGACGAGAGAGAATGCCGAGGAAAAGTAGAACCTGACGCTTGCCAGCAGGACAGGAGCGTAGGCTTAAACCAGTACGTGGTAGGGTCTAAGTGCAAAGCCAGACTGGACCACTAGCGCCAGCCCTCCAGCACCCTGACTCCTTGGGGGAAATTACTGACGTAGCCCCTGGAGTCACCAGGGAGAGGTGGAGGGGGAGAGAGAGAGAGAGGGAGAGAGTGAGGGAAGAGTCCCCCTCCTCCTTCGAAGATGGAAACCCCATTGCCTACTAGTATGTGGGCCTTCCCAGATCTAAAGCTCCTGACCTGAGGAAACGAGAGAGAGGGGGTCAGAGGAAGACAAAGGGAAAAGAGGGGAAGGGGACAGAGTGACAGACACCGATGAAGTGACAGACATGGATGAAACAGCATGGCATGAAGAAGCAAGGCTGGGGAGAGGAGCTGGGCAAGAGAGAAGGCAAACAGAAATACAGAACGCTGTGGGATGGGAAGTGATGCTGAAGCTTGGTCCTCTGGGAATTCCCTCTCCCAGGTCCCCTGTGTCCAGTGACAGTCCTCCAGGGGTTCTTCAGTACTTCCTGTCCAGGGATTGAGGCTGGGGCCACCACAGTCTGTTCTGGTAGCGGGCCAGGGCACGGTTCACTGGCTGCCTCTCTTGTCTTCCCACCTCTGCTTTGCTTTGTCCTCACCTCTTCCCGATTCACCTGGTTGGACAAGGACGTCCTCTTCTCCAACTGCTTAGGGCTGGAGGGAGATGCTACAGGGCTTCCCAGGGCTCAGGGTGAGAAAAATCGGGGGAAGGACATCCACAACTCCGTGGCATGTGGACAGTTTCCTCAAAGGCCCACATGTCCCCCTGAAGATGAATTTTCCAGCCAGAAGTTTCCTTTACCTTTTGGGACCTTCTGCACCCACGTCACACTACTGTGAGTGGCATCTGGAGGACAGGCGTTTTAGAGCTCCCGAGAGCTACTTCCCACTTGGCCCTGATACGCTGTGTTCCTTGGCTTATGCTGGTCCTTGGTTTCCCCTTCGTAAGGCATGAAGCATCAATCTTTCCTGTCCATCCTAGTCCTAATGGGAGGATACCACATGAAGACCGGGGAGGAAAACTGCTTGGGAACAGAGTCAGAGAATCACAGGACGTCAGAGCTACAAGAGGTGTTAAGAGTCACTTACAACTTTCAAGTTTGTGCCTGGATATCTCCACAAGAGAGATTCCAGAGGAAGATTTCTTATCACTGTGGCCACATGAGCCCTGTTACCAACCGATCCTTTTGTTCCGTGTGCTCATATGTGTATGCACCAGGAACAAACACAGGAAAGTCTAGCAAGCAGGGAGTCAAGGTCAGGACCAGCATGCACAGTTGGGAGTTTTGTGCACTGCACACAGGGACCAAACGGGGGCATCTGGGCCAACCTCTGCTCCCCAAGGCCAGGTGGTAAGCCTGGGGTGAGGCTGGGGTGCAGCCTTTCACTCTGCCCAGTGGGTCCCCTTTTTCTAATTTTCACAAAAGTACCTTATACGCTTGAAAGCCAAGGACATAGGGAAAACCCACTTGGGTCTCATGCACATATCAGTGAACACCAGGTCAAAGACTTTCACGTACACAACATACAAAGTCCCACAAATGCAGGAGGCATGGTCTACTCTCCAGCTGTCTCCTCCTTTGCCTGTTTGTTCCTCTGCTGCCCAAGCACCTGTCACATGGGGGGACTGGAGCCAAGCATGACCGACAGCAGGAGACTGGTTAGAAAGCTATTTTGATGTTCTAGGAGAGAGGTGACCAGGGCATGAAAACAGTGATTAGGAAAGAGAGGGGAAAGTGAACTTGCGAATCAGTGTGGAGATAGACTCAGCTCAATCCTGGGCTGTATGTGATAAGGAAAAGGGAGTACAGTCAGGAATAGGAGGTCACGGTGACCTCAGAAGAGCGGTCCAGCAGACTAATGGGGTGTGGGACCACAGGGAGCTGAGGGTGCCAGGGGGTGAAGAAGCAGGGTCAGGGTAGAGACTCGCCTCCGTCACAGGTTTGGCCACAGGGTGGCTAGAGCGAGACAAAGCATCGCAGGAGTTGCTTACACACGCCTGTGCATTTAGCTAAGATGGCGACACTTACAGGCTGCTGAGGTTGAGAAGAGAGAAGCGGGGATGGGGTTGCCCTGGGGCCTGCTCCCAGAGCTCAGGAGAAGGGAGCAGCTTCAGGAGGGACAAAAGTGGACCATCCCCAGAGTCTGGAGGGTGGAGTCAGCATGGGGACAGATATAGACACCTGTAGGTGTGGGGGCCAGGAAGCTGAGCAGGCTCATGCCCGATGTCGTGCCTTTCTCAGAGGCTAGAGGCCAAGGCCTGCAGGGCGGGAGACTGGAGGAACCACCACATAGACAGTGGGGGAGGGCGCTGGCCAGAGACAAGGAAGAGGATTTCTGACCAGCACGGACCCCTCAGCTGGGCCTGGAGGACTTCAGAGTCCAGAGGCGACTGAGGGTGATGTGATCTCCTCTCTGCAGTGCGGTGAGGCCCTGAGATTCACGCATCCTGCCTTGCAGCCTTCCCACGCCCCCCAGCCCCAGACTCACCCACAACAGTGAGGTTGACCTGGGCCTGCCTGCTGCCCAGCTTGTTCTCCACCAGCAGCGTGTAGCAGCCGCAGTGCTCCTGGCGTGCAGCCAAGATGGTGAGCTTGCTGCCGTTCTCGTTGTTCTCCACTTTGATGAGGTCACTCTCCTGGATCTGGGGGTGGAGGGTGCAGCAGGAGCTGGAGCCTGGAGCCAGGAAAGGAAGGCTCCTCTCCTACTCCCCGCCCTCTCAGGGAAGCAGCTGGACAAGCTGTAGGGGCTCTGTCTGATCTGGACCCTACGCTTTCCTCAGGCCCCCTCTCCTGCACCCAGAGCCAGGCCTCCCTGAGGGTGCTCCAGCTTGGGCGGGCAGGGAGGGTGCTGAGCATGGGCAGGGTGCATGAGCTACCTCAGCACTTGCTGCTCCCAGCACACAGCTCAGGTGTGTCCCAGCCTCCCTCCACTGCTCTGGGATGGGATGGTAGAACGCGTCTGAACAGAGGCATCCATAAAGCCTACCCCAGCAGGTTCGGACCTCTTCTGTGCTATCCAGTACAGTAGCCACTAGCCACATGTGGCCATTTAATTAGTTAAGTGGAAACAACCCAAGTGTCCATCAACTGATGAATAGATAAACAAAATGTGGTCTATCCAGACAATGGAATATCGTTCATTCATAAAAAGGGATGAAGTACTGATTCATGCTATAACATGGATGAGCCCTGAAAACATGCTAAGTAAAAAGAAAAAGCTATACACAGAAGATGAACTACTGTATGATTCCATTTATACAAAATGTCTAGAATAGGCAAATCTATAGAGACACAAAGCAGGTAAGTGGTTGTCGGGGGTTGGGAGAAAGGGAGGAATGACTGCTAATGGGGCTGGGGTTTCTTACTGTGGCGAGGAAAATATTCTATAATTAGATAATGATGATGCTTATACAACCCTGTGAATATTCTAAAAACCATTGAATTGTACATTTTAAGAGGGTGAATTTTATGGCGGATGAATTATATCTCTACAAAGCTGTTATAACTATTTTAATTAAAATTAAAAATTCAGTTCCTCAGTTACACTAACCACATTTCGAGTGTTCAGCAGGCACATGTGGCTAGTGGCTACCACACTGGATGGCACAGATACAGAACAGTTCCATCACTGCAGGAAGTTCTGATGGGTAGAGCTGGAACTTGGCTAAACGTCCCTGAAAAGTGATGAGATTTCACCTATCTCAGATGACAGTAGCCCAGACACAGCTCAGGGCAAATGTACTCTGGAACACTAAAGGCTAGCTGCTCATCTCCATCTTTGGAGACCAACCCCACTTCCCTCCGTGGTAGTACTAGCTGCTCACCTCCGGACCTAGGACAATTTGTATGGTTTGGAAACAGCACCAGAGGGTTCGGAACAAACCTTCATCCCTTCTATGGAGTTCCTGAGCCTGTGCCAGCCCGCCAGCCCAGGTCTCTGCTGATCCTGCATGCAGGCACACGCCACCAACATGACGTCGGTGGAACAGCCAGGCTCCCCAAGCTACCCCACAAGCTAGTTGTTTGGGAATTCAAAAACTTTTTTTTCCATATGAACCATTTTTATCAATTGTAGCTATATTTCTGGTTCAGTAAGCCAAAATTCTATTTACTGTATAATTTATCTGTTCAAATATTCAGATTCACTTTTCTCCCTTCAGCACATGGGACGTTTAAGCTGGTATCAGATAGGAATCAGTGGGCTGGCACAGGTCACAGAAAGCTCACGGAATCCAGGAGGTCATTAGGTCACTGGTTTGATTTTCCTGACTCTGAGTAGGATTCTAGACTGCAATGGCAAAATCAGGTGGGGGCCATGGATGGCTTCTATTTTTTCCTTCACATTTTTCTCTACTATACAGATTGTAGTAGCCGGGGCTTTTTGGTAGATTCAGAAGAAAAGGTTAGGGAGCACTCAGGCTTGGTGGGTGGGTGAGAGTGTCTCCCATCTCCAAAGCGATGAAGACTGAGGCCATCCCATTATAGCACCACTCATCCCTTTCAGCCCAGGGGCTGTGGGGTGTTCTCGGGCCACCCCCTTCCGTCACTGACCTGCTTTCGGAACTTCATCCAGGTACAGGTGATGGGCTGGGTGCCTGCCACTTTACCAAACAGCTCCACTGACTCTCCCGCGCGCACCTTTTGGTCCTCAGGAAACTGGATGATCTGAGCAGGCATTGCTGAGAGGAGAGGGCAGAACGTGAGTGAGGAGGGAGCCTCTGACCTTCTGATCTCACTGGGCGCTACTGTCCACAGTGGTCTGTTGGCTCCTGTCTCAGCTTCCAGACCCTTCGGGGGACAGCTGAGGGCACTGACCCCTGCTCCAAAACATGTGAGTTCATGGACCAGTAGGCTTGTTCATCTCTTTATTCTGGTTCCCCCAGAAGTGACCCACACCATTTACACGGCAGCATTCTCCGTTTATTAGTTGTGCTGGAATTTGAGTCTTACCCTAATTTTTTGAGTCAATATCCTAATTCACTTATTCATTAAGCAGCACCTTGCCTTCTAACCTCTAGGTCACCCTGGCTGACAGGCTCAATGTCACATCCTCAAGTGTCTTTCAACAGGAAACAGACAAGGGCTCCATATAACAAGGATGCACAGAGCAGAGCAAAGATGGCATCCCGTGAGCCTCCTCCGCAAGGGGCAGCATGGAAGCCGGTGGGGACAGAGTTGCATAGAAGGGGAGGAAAGCTGCCAGTCCCTTGCAAAGCTGTCCACACAGGGGAGGCAGAGGAAAAGACGGAGCAGTGGAGGGGGGAGGGGCTGGGCCATGCAGAACTGGCTCACAGAACATATTCTCCTGAACAATGCAGAGCTTGAATTGGGGTCGGTGGGGTGTCTCCTGGGGTCACATACCCAGGTGGTCAGTCTAGCAGGGTAAAGAATAAAAACCCCCTATGACAGATGACTCCTCTGTCCCCAGATACTGCTGTGGCCAATTACCTGCCTTTGGAGGTGTCTTGGGGGCAGGTTTCTTTTTCACAGTTGCATCACCTGAAACAAAGAAGTTTACAAGTTATTTTCCATAGTTTTTTCACAAAGCTCCTGATCCCAGGAGGATGCAGTCTTGTCCATTGGCCCCTCATCCAGGGAGAGCCCTTGTTTGAATATGTCTGTCCAGAGATCTTCTTGCCCTCTCATACAGACAACCTCACAACCGAACGAATGTCAGTTAGCTGCCACCTCTGGAGGGGTCTCTGGAGCCTCCAGTGAGATAAAAACTGTCAAAAATGCTTAAGCTCCCATAGTCCTATTCAAAGATGATAACCCCAAACTCACTAACTACTCTTTCACTCTAACTTTCAGGAAACTCAGAGAGGAAATTATGTCAGATAGACCAACTAAAATTAGCCTTTGGTGTGGATCCAAGGGTCTCAGGCTTCCTTTGGGTCGCAGACTGTGGCCTGGCAGCTTTCATGTTTTTAAATGTTTGTTGAATGGATGAATGAATGAATGAATGAATGCTCTCCTCCCTTCCTACCCCCACTTCCTCCAAATAACTCAAATAAGAAAAATGACTCAAACAGAAAAGTTTTGCAGCACAAACCTATTCACGTGGCTAAATAACACTATGGTGCCCAGGCAAAGGTATCCTCACTGATCTTCTTGGCTGGCTCTCTCATTCCTCTCAGGTCTTTGCTCAAAAGTCATCTAACTTACTTATCCAAGTGAATGGAAAACCTACGTGCACACAAGCACCTGTACGCAAATGTTTATAGTGGCTTTATTTATAATTGCCCAAAACAAGAAGGTATCCAAATGTCCCTCCCCTGACAAATGGAGGAACTATGGTCCACCGACACCATCGGTAAAAAGGAATGAGCCTGAGCAAGAGTGAGACCCTCTCTCTACAAAAAATAGAAAAATTAGCCGGGTGTGGTGGCACGTGCCTGTAGTCCCAGTTACACCGGAGTCTGAAGGCAGGAGGATCGCTTAAGCCCAGGACTTAGAGATTGTTATGAACTATAATGATGCCATTTGCACTGTAGCCTGGGCGACAGAGCGAGACCTTGTCTCAAATAAATAAATACATAGGAACAAAACTACTGATATGCACAATGTGGATGAATCTCAATGATTTCTCTTTCTTTTGTGCTCAGAGAAGCCAGACTCAAAAGGCTACATGCTGTATGATCTACTTATATGACAGTCTAGAAAAGGCAGAACTACAGAGATGGAGAACAGATTAATGGTCGCCGGAGGTGGGGTGGGGAGCAGCTGACTACAGAGGGGCACAGGGAAGTATTTCGAGTTGATGGGACTGTATCTTGACTGTGGCCAAGTCCCTTGATTATATGAGTTTGCCAGGACTCACAGAACTGCATACTAAAGAGGGTGAAGTTTACTATAGGGAAGTTATACCTAATATAAAAAGTGGGGAAAAGCCACTTCACCAGTGAGATTATCCCTAAGCACCCTATATAACAGCAGCCCTGGCACTCCCTATCATCCCTACCCTGCATTATTATGCCCCCGTGGCACTGGTCACCACATGACAAACTATATATTTACCTATTTATTTACTCTCTAACCTTCCGCTCCCCCTAGACTATAAGCTTTGTGAAGGCAGGGCCTTTTTTTTGTTCACTGCTGCATAGCCAATGTGCCCGGCACATAGTAGGCACTCAGTAACTATGTGTTGAATGAGTGAGCCAGTTAATAGTAACAATCATTCATCCACACAGCTTCACACTGCACATTCCAGAGAAGCAGGGCCACGTCCCGGTTTGGATATGGGGTTGCTCTGTGAACACAGGGGAGTTGGCTGACTACTGCATTATTAGCTGTGCATTTCTACACTGGCAAGAGCGCTGTTACCCAGCTGAACACCCTCGGAGGACTGTTGGAAGGAGGTGATCCCTGACAGGAGCACTCTGCGATCACAGAGCTGAGGACTACCAGCAGTGCAATCAATTAAGCCCGGGGGAGGGCTGCTTCCACCAAGCTCGCCGCCATTACCGATCCATCCGTCCATCTCCAGGTTTACTGAGGGCCTAACATGTGCCAGGCAAATGCCGATCAGTACACACTACTAACCAGGGTGCTGAGGAGAAAACCAAACAAACGTAAGAAATCAGGGCTCGAGGACTTAAAGGTCAGGACGTGTGGTCCACAGGAAAGGCTTTTTTCCTTTAGCCATCATGGACATTTATAAGACAACTGGCAACATTTGAATGAGGTCAATAAATTAGATGACAGCATTGCATCAGTGTTAATTTTCTGTTTTGATTTTCAAACTGTGGCTTTATAAGAGACTGTTCCTGTTTAAAGGAAATAGACACTGAAGTATTTAGGGATAGAGGGTATTGTGCATGCAACTTGTTTCCAGACTGCTCATAAAACGTAATATATATGTATATACGTGTATATGTGTGTGGGGAGAGGAAAAGAAGGGGCTGGAAAAAGAGAAGGAGAGACAGAATATATGAATAGCAAATTCAGTAAGATGTTAACATTTGCGGAACCTGGGTGAAGGGTATACAAGAATTATTTACACTATTTTTGTAACTTTTCTGTAAGTCTGAAATTATTTCGAAATAAAAGTTAAATAGAAAGTTAAAAAAAAAGTGTTGTCCATGATGTGGCTATTCAAATGCAGGAGGAAGGGAGGACACTGCGGGCCGACGACATGGTCAGAAGGCTGAGAGGTGGGCACGGGCAGACCTGAGAGTGAAGGAAATCTGAACTGGAGAAGGGAGAAGAGCCTGCGGTCGGGAACAGACAGCACTCGGAGTTCAGAGGTGGGTGATGTTTGGCGGGGGCTGGTCAGAGCCCAGGGCTGGTACTGGAGTACAGTAGTATGATCACAGTGTGCAATTCAAATGAAAGAAAATTAAAAATTGAGTTCCTCAGTCACACTAGTCACATTTCAATTGCTCAACAGCTATACATGGTTAGTGGCTATCACATTGTGCAGACTTAGCTCATTTCCATCATCACAGAAAGTTCTAGTGAATAGTGCTGGTCTTAATGCTGAGCTTGAGAGTTAGGCCTGCGTGAACAGGGCATCCTGACACAAGCAGCATTAGATTGGGCTCGAGGTCCCCTACAGCTCTCTCCGACAATTCAGGGACAGACATCCACGCAGGAGGCTGTTGTTATACCTTGCAAGGCCCTGATCAAGATCCATGCAAAAAAGAAGATACAAATGAGAGACAGAGGAAAAACTAAAAGAATTTAGGGGGCTAAACAAGAGGGAGGTACAGAAATTACCTTTGAATTTCTTGCTTAGCTACACGGGGAAAATCGTATTGAAGGAATATGAAATTTAGCAGGGAAAGATGAGTAGTTTGGCTTTGTCAATGAATTTGGTAGATGAAAAAAATTGAATCTGTGTGTAGGCTAGAAGCTCAGGATCAGAATTGTGGAGAGAGGTTGGTGGAGACAAGAGTGAAAGATTCCAGATGAAACACGCAGTTTTGAAGGAATGTGTGAGGACGGGTCAGTCCTCTGCGGAAAGAGAATGCAGTGACAGATGGGAAGGGGCAGGGTCTGACCCCAGGCAGTGCCCACAGGGAGAAGCTGGGATGAAGAAGAGGGCTCGGGAAGGACCCCAGAGAAGGAGGAATGTCCCTGCAGCAAGGACAGAAGGGGACAGACTCTGGGAAGGGCTCCAGGTGACCAGCAGGGAGTGACGGTGACACAGCAAAGGCCAGGCTCCGTGGACTGTGTGGTCCAAAGTCACTCCAGAGGAGCCTCTCAAGGAAATGGGGGAGTCAGCTAGTCGGTCAGAATTCTGAGGTGAAGGACAAAGAGAAACAGGGTGACAGAAGAGGAAATGTCAAGCTAAGGTTTCTTCTGAGATGAGAGAGAAGAGAGAAGACATGTGAGAAGGCCAGGAGTGAGGGGAGGGGGAGAGCACAGGAAGCCGAGTCCCTGTGGGGGCACCAGCTGGGCCATGGGGCACCTGTGCCTGGCTGAGCCACAAAGGCCCTGTGCCCCTTCTTCCAGCACTGCTGGGGAGAAGAGAGGGCTTCTGCCACAGCGGGGCCTGCTTGTCTCTGGAGAGAGAAGCCACCTGTTCAGGGGAGCTTCGTGGGCGGCGAGTGTTAATGGCTGAACTGTGTCATCCCAAATTCACATGTTGAAGCCCTAACCCCCAGGACCTCAGAATGTGATTGTATTTGGAGATAAGGCCTTAAAAGAGGGGGCAATAAGTTAAAATGAGGCCATTAAGGTAGGTCCTAATCCAATCTGACTAGTGTCCTTAAAGAAGAGATTAGGAGAGAGACAGAGAGAGAGAGAGACTAGACACACACGCAGAGGGAAGACCACGTGAAGACGTGGGGAAAAGATGGCCATTTACAACCCAAGGAGAGAGGCCTCAGAAACCTTGCTCTTGACCTTCTGGGCTCCAGAACTATGAGAAAATAAATTTCTGTTGCTTAAGCCACCAGTCTGTGGCACTTTGTATGGCAGCCCTAGAGATCTAATGCAGCTGTGGGTGGGACCCGTGGGGTGGCAGCAGGTGGGGAGAGAAGTCCCTGGGGTGGCAAACCAGGGGTTAATAAGGAGAGGGCAGTGGCACAACATGAAATCAGGGGACTTCAAAGTCCTGCCCTGTGCTTGGAGCTCTGGGTAAACCTGTGTGGCTAGAAGTAGAGCCCTACTAGTATGTGTCTTTCAGTGTTACAGTTAAATGGGATTGAAGGCCACATTTTTGTTTGTTCCATAAATTTGGAGCTACTGCTGTTTGAATTGGTTAGCATTTGAAGCTGGTTTGGTTCCTATCAGTAAAAACAACTTTAAATGTTAACAATGTTCTGTATCCTATTCTATACATATTTTATAGGACCATCTGCTGAAATCCATTAACTGTGTTTTGGGCTTACAGGGGAAAGCAGAGTCACCTGTTTCTGAAGCCAGGTTTCTAAGAGGGAGTTTCTCGCTTATCCCAACCAAACACTAGCAGGGCAGCTCATAATGTTTCCATTTTACGAAAAAGGAGACAGAGTCTCATAAAAATCAGGTGACTTGCTGGGTTCACAAAACCA